TTCAGCCACAGTCTGGCTCTTCAGCTGAGGTGCAGCAGCTCCTGTTTCTCGCTCGGTAGCTCCCTGGTATGCCAGCTCTCCGGCTGGCTGTCACACAGGAACCACAAACAATCCCAGGAGCGGATCCGTTCCGCAGGGACGAGTAAGAAGAATGATAGCCTGAGTGGCGTGCTGGGGGCCAGGCAGCAAATGGTCAGCTAGCAGGGCTCTCTCCCATCAAGCATGGCAACAGGGGCAATGCAGCATGTAACAGCCTGTTAGGTTTCATTTTTTTCCAGCGATCAAAGCTGCACAGCTAATTGCTTTTGAATAAATGAAAGTCTTTTGAGTTCTGTGCCTTATCAGAAATTTCTATCCAGGTCCTGAGGTGGAAGTAAGCTTTGCCACAGTAGTTCCCGCAGAGGCTTAAGGAGTGGTGGGAAGTGAACCATCATATTACAGGTTGCAGCTGCATTGTTGGGGTTGTAAAGTAAGCTGTTACAGAGTCATTCAGACCACGCCTGCACCCCATAGTACATTGTTTTTCTTGCCTACAATTGCTTGCATCCTGGACCGGTTAGACTGCTCCATGAGCCATTAAAAAGTGAAATTCCTTTAAAGCATGGGCAGCTGTAACGGATACTTTTTGAGAGTAAGCTCAAGAGTGCAAAAAGCAGAACCCTAAAAGGATCAGGAGGTTGCTACCACATCCATATAATGCTTAGTTGTGAAGGGCTGACTGCCTTGGCGGTGCTGCTCAGGCATAGACAGCAAGGCTTATTTTATTGCAGAGAAAAATGTATTGTAATAACCTGAGAATTTTGTATCCCTCTCTGGGGGCTGGACACTAACCTGCTTGAATGATGCCACCTGCTTAGGATCCCAGTTACTCTGAGTACTTGACTAGCCTCGTTGCTATTGCAAGTATATCAGCTTGGTGACAAAGGCAGTAAAAGCCTTTCTATTTTACAGTCCCTAACTTTCTTAATGGGAGCTGCTGTGGATGCAAATACACAGAAATACGTGGAATACAGTGGAATCTGCCTGAGAGTAGGGACTGGAGCTCACCTTTTCGGTTCCACCAGAACCCATGACCAGAAATGTGACCTTAAATGCGCACTAATTAATGACCTTGTAAAGCCACAGCTTAGTAACGGACACCAGGAACCAAACTTTCCTTTAATCTGCTCCTCTTAGAGCACAGGATAAGAATTACTGAATGTGCATGTTTAACGATGTCTGTGAAGTGGTGTTCAGCCAGGAGCTTCTCTGACTGCTGCTGTGCTTTAATGAGCTCTCTAATGCCCCAGGCGTAGAGCGTTACAGTCTGTGACACAGGTAGAATTGCCAGCTAGCACCAGAAGAGCCAGATGAGCAGCGGTGTCACTACCTGCTTCTCTTCTGTGTCCCACAGCTGCATCCTATGACAAGCGAATTGCACTCTGGGATATTGGGATTCCAGACTGTGACTACAATTTCAAAGCAAGGTAAAGGTTCAAAAACCAGATGTGGCCAGTCCAGGAGCCTGTACCTATCACTTTGCAGCACCACTTAACTGTTCGTTCTCTTTTTAGCCAGCTGCTGGTGCTGGAATCTTTCTCTGTACCCTTACGGATTGCCCTGGTCCCCACCTGCCCAGAGCAGTACCTGCTGGCTGGCTGCGAAGAAGGCTGCTTTACCTGGAATATAAAACTGGAAAAGGAACAGAAAAACAGGTGAGAACCAACAGTTTAGGGGCATGTGTTTGCTTTCCATAACAAGAAGAGGTAGTCCTAGCTTTATTTCTGGCTGAGGAGGTCTGAGCAAGGAAAGCAGCATGGCCTACCAAATATAAAGGAAACAAAACACTCCAGGAGTTGGACTTGATGATCCTTATGGGTCCCTTCCAACTCAGGATATTCTTTGATTCTATGAAAATAGCAGTCCCTTAAGCAAACAGGCTCCTGCTACATTAAGAAGCCCAGGTAGTCAAAAACATAGGTTCAAGTAGGAATTCATCAGATCTATCAGGCGAGAGCCTAACAGATTTCTATCTCTTGGGGTCTGTATCTAAGCACCCTTTCACAACCTGAATCACTTCACCTTTCCTCCCGCAGGCCTTTCGAAGTCACATTCCAGTTTCCCGATGAGGAGGGGGAAATGACGACATCTCACAGGGTTGATGGTTTGGCTTTTCTGAATGATGACGTTGTAGGTGAGTGTAAGCACAATCGCCAGATCCACAAAAAAAAAAACAATCAGGTACCTCAGTGGAGAATGAGGAAGCAGAGGGGGTGACAGGAGCGTAGCTAACACTTTGTAGATTCTTGAGGGCTACACTGAATGGTGGTGTCTCTTTCCATAAAATATGGTTGGAGGGTGCAAAGTCATGTCTGAGCAGAGATGGAAAAAAGACAGACTCATCAGAGAGAAAACTTTGCTTAGCAGTGCTGAAGTGAAAGGGAAGAGAGCCCCGTTGTGTTTAAGGGCTGGTGGAAGCAGCGTTTCTTTGCAGAGGATTTGGGGTTCCTACATCTCAGAGGCTCCTAAAAGCACAGAGTGGGTCTTTCTGAATAGCCTGTGCTCGTTCCACAGTTTGGGAACCATGTGGAACAGACTCCCTCTGAAGCCTCAAATTATCTAGAAATAAAGCAAAGGAATCGGAAGTAGTTGCTGCTGCTATCGGGTCCTGTGTCTTAAAAGCCACCTTCTGGATGTGCCCCCTTCCCCAGCTGTCCTGAAGCTCTGCACTCCCCAGCAGCTGACAGCCTGCCATCTTCCTTCCCTAGCTTCCAAGAGCTCCAAACCGGGGTGCATATACTTGTGGAGCTGGAGTCGGTCTTTTGACACGAAGGGGAAAGGATGCCAGCGGACGGTGTCGGCGGTTATTCTGGCTGAGCTGGAGTGGTCCACGACAGACTTGTCCTATCTCACGCTCAGCACCTGCCCAGGTAGGCAGCACCCTCCCTCAGCACAAGCGGTGAGACTGTGCCAGTCGCTTCAGCAGGGGCAGCCACACTGCTCAAGATTTACTTTTAGCAGTCCCCTCCCACCCTGTAGTTGCAGGCAGAGGGCTGGATTTCATTCCCAGACCAAGAGAGCGCACCTGGCCTGCTGCCTTTGCATGACAAGAGCTCGTAACATGCAGCGCTGCAGCTAGCAGACAGGCACCAGTTGCATATAAATAGGAGACTGTTCCCTAATTGCTAAAGGCAGAGGTGCTCTGCCCTGATGTGATGCAACATGTCATAGTGCAGCTTAGGACCAACAAGGAGTAAAGAAACTGAGCCCCACTTTTCAAACCTAAAAATACTAACTAAAATCAGAAGAAATCACTTATTACTGGCTTTTCTTTACTACAATAAGAGAGTTCTGTCTTAATAAATTGAGTTTTTCTCCAGAGCTAGGGATTTTAGTTATTTTATGCCAGGCAGAATTTTGCTGAAGTGTCATCCTCCACGCTACACCAGTCTGTAAAGCCCCACCTTACAGCAGAGGGGACTCTCAGCTCCACTCTAGTTTTCCAGCTTCTTCTTTTGGTCTCGCAGCAAAAGAGCACGTGTTCTGTGGTGATGAGAAAGGAAGCGTGTGGATATACAACCTCTCAAACTACACCACAGCTTGGAGCTCTGCAAAGGCAAAGCGTTCAGACAAAAGAATCCCTCCCACACAGGTAGGTCTCGTTTACCCGCTGCGACTTAGCTGTGCCTCTCTTCCTCCCAGGGGCAGCCCTCGAGTTTCTGAGCACCTTTACACCAGAACAGGCCTGGTATTTTCCCTGCTTTCAATTAGTTACGAATGTTAGGTAACCTCCAGAGCGTGACCAAGGCCACCTCAAAGCTCACACAAACAATTGTGACAGGAATTACGAGCTGTAAAGCAAGTCTGTTCACGCCCGTGTTCTGCAGCTTGACAGCTTCTCCTAGCAAAAGGCCTCTCTGGAAATAAAAGTTGGTGGTTAACACGTACAGCCCAACACCACGGGCTGTTCCTGCACCCCGTTAACTGGCAGGCAGCTGCTGTTTCCCTGCCTGGCTGAGGGGAGGGTAAGCACAGCAGCTGCTCCCCAGTAAAACTGCACACAGGAAAGGGCAAGCTCCTTGCATTTGTTCTTGCCCCCTCCCCTTTTGCTCCCTGGCCTCTGAAAACAGCCGTGTTTTGGTTGAATGCTGTTCCCTCACAGATATAACTGAACGGACTGTAGCACAAACAGCCACAGAGGCTGTGAGTCAAGCACAGTCTTGAGCTGTAGCAGTATGGCAGTGCGATGTGACGTACTGCTCAAATCAAAAGTCAGTTCCTCCAGAAGTGAGAGGGAGCTGCTTTCAGCTCTTCTGTTCTGATTTTAAGTCCTTCTGCATTAAATGCTGGTCCTTTGGGAGGACCAGCATAAAGGTGCACCCTGTGGAAGTGGAAGAACCCTTTTATTCAGCTCCCCCACGTTGGTAGGGACTGAGAGCACTCTGTTCCAGACCATCATCAGTATCATCCAGGTTGCAGAGACAACACCCTTCCTTTTTTACACAAACTCTGTTCTCCTCATAGATTCTCAAGTGGCCAGAGCTCCAATCAAACGGGGACCATCTGAGTGAAATCCTCATAAACAATGTGATAACAGACCCTACTTTCACTTACCTTGTTGCTCTAACTAGTGTGAACATAACAGCAATTTGGAAGAAGTCATAGTTCCTTGTACCCAAATTTCATTCCCGTGCTTTGAAATAGTGCAGTATTAGTGACTGTTACCCATGTAACCATGAAGTTTTCTAGACCAGCTATTACATGCAAAAGAAAAAAAGGTAAGAGTTTGTTAAACCCATTGAGTCATTGTAAACATCCAGTTTCTTTTACTGTAAGTTTTCACAATTTGTGCATTTGTTTTATAGAAATGACACTTAATAAAACAAAATGCAGATCTGTTGGCAGTGAGTAGACTTCTTGAACAGGACAAGCAGAGACCTACTGCAATCACTCAGCAACTCATCGTTCTGCAAGTACAGTCAAACTCACCAACAGTCGAGTATAAGTATTTGCATTAAGTCTCCAATTAGAAAAACAGAAATCATTTTAATGAATTATCATCAAATCAAACACTTTCATCCTCTTGGCAAACTGCCTGTCAGGTACAAAACCCCCTCAAAATATTTCTGCAGCTGTGAAAAATTAAAAATAAGTGGGGCAAGCAGGGGAACACTTGCCATGAATGAGGTTTAAATAAAGCACTCAACTAACGGACACACCATTCTTCATCAGAAGTTCAGTCCACTCTAAATGTGAGGATTTCACTCAATTCCTTCCTGTTTGTCTTTGATGGCAACCTGTAAAATACACAAACAGAAACACACGCTAAGACAAGAACTGTCACTGAGCTAAGGAAGCTAGTTTAAACATTGATACCATCCGTCTTCTATCAAACACAAGAACAACTGCAAAACAATAGGCTGAAACATCTGTGGAAATCTCAATGCCATCCAAGCAAATAAAACTTAAAATCAAAACATTTGTAAAAGGGCTGCTGGTGCTTTTACCATTTACCAACACATCCAAAAACATTAACATCTATGCTAGCTAGTACCCTATTCACAGTCGTCCCCCTTGCTTTTGTCTGAATACCTTCAGGCAGATAAAGACCCAAAAATCACAGATTGTACAGCTGATCATGATTATAAGTGGTCAAGAAAATGAAAGTGATAAGAAAACCACAGAAGATTAGCAATTTTTTTTCTACCCTAGTTAGACTGTGAGCCAGCTACAGAACTGTTAAAGTGCACCCATTTAACTCTTGCAGGGCATGTAAATAACCCTCATGAGCAGCCAGGTCTCACCATGCCCTGAAAGGAGCTGTCTGAGTAGCCAGACCCAGCATGGCTTGGACAAATTTATTGCCACAAAACAATAGCAACTCTAGCAAACACCAACACTACCTTTGGTTAAAGTGTGTAAGTGGGTTACAGTTAAAAAGAAACAGACATACCCTGAATCTCTCCTCCAGGAGGGACAGCTCGCTGATCAGATCCGTGATGGCGTTGGTGAAAGCTTCCTGGGGGCTGTAATCAGGGGTGGTTTGGACACGGATGATGATTTTGTGCTCCAGTGGGTGTGGGACCTTGTACCCTGCAAATAACACCTGAGGGTCTTTCAGCAACTGCCTGAAAGGGGAAAGCAGCAGTGAACAAGCACGTAGCACACATAAAAACGTTTTCTATTTAAGAAAGAAAATAAAAAAACACTTTTCCATAGGCTTTGATGGCACACTTTCAAACAGGGCAGTATGACCAGCTGAGCAGGCTGCTTGCTCATTTGTACGGGCTTTGATACTACATTTTAAAACAGGGCTTGGTGAATATCACGAAAATATTAACACCAGAGCTGCCTTGCCTTCACCTAACATATCACAGCGTGCCTATTCTAGGTAAATTTTAATAAAAAAAAATAAACCCGCCCTCAAATGACCCCAACCCCGCCTCAGCTCACGACTTGATGATGTTCCCCAGCGTGTGGTCCTCCTTGTTGATGGTGAAGAGGCAGGCGTTGGGCACCTTCGTGTCCTTGTTGATGGTGATCCTGCGCGGCAGACGGGGCCGTTACCTCAGGGGGAGCCCGTCCCGTCCCCACCCCCCCCCCCCCCCAGTCCCCACCAGCCCCGTCCCTGCTCACTTCTTCTCTCCCTCGAAGAGGAGGAAGGACTCGAAGGCCGGAGGCGCGTTCATGCTGCCGCCACCCCCGCCGCCACCTCCTCTTCCTCCTTCCCCGCCGCCACCATGGCGCCCGGCCCCTCCCGGCCGCCCACAGCGGCCCCTGGAGGCCGGGAGGTCCGAGCCCCCCCGTGAGGGTCCCACGAAATGGCGGCCGGGGCAGCGACCCTTCCCCACACACACACACAAACACACACCCGTGGTGTCCCCAGTGCCACCAGAAGGGGTGTTAGTGGTGACACTAACAGGTAATTTTTTCTCGATGACTGGGACCCTTCCCCTGTTTCCCCACTGACTGGGTAATCCAGGTTCACAATCTGTCAGGTGCTTCACAGCCAACACATGGCTTTCAGTTGCCGGCTTGTTATAAATCAAATTTCTTTTGCCTTTTATCCTCTTTGAGGTGGTAATGTTTCTTACACGGTGATTTCCGCCTAATTGCTCTAAGGATTCTGGTTGTCTGCATTTTACAAAGGTGTCTCTTAAGCTTTCTTATCACTGCAAGCATATCTCAATCCCATATTCCTTCCAAAAACATTTTTATTCCCACATTAATCACCAGGTCCAACCTTCCCCTAAACACCCCCAGGGACGGTGACTCCACCACCTCCCTGGGCAACCCGTCCCAGTGCCTGACTGCTCTTCCTGACAGAAATGTCTCCTCATTTCCAACCTGAACCTCCCCTGGCACAACTTGAGGCCATTCCCTCTGGTCCTATCACTGGTTACCTGTGAGCAAAGGCCGACCCCAGCTCCCCACCCCTTCCTTTTGGGGAGTTGCAGAGAGCAATGAGCTCTGCCCTGAGCCTTCTCTTCCCCAGACCAAACACCCCCAGTTCCCTCAGCTGCTCCTCACAGGACTTGTGTCCCAGGCCCTTCACGAGCTTCATAGCTTTCTCTGGACACACTCCAGGCCCTCAATGTCCCTCTTATCCTCAATGTCCCCATGGCCTCCCTTGTGGCCGCTGCCCCAAGCCCCTTGGCACTGAAATGACACATTCCTGGACAGATGCTCTTTCTTCATCTGGGAGAAGCGGTCTGCTGCCAGCAGAAATTTTCAAGAGGACACGGGTGCAGGGAACAAAGTGCCTTTATTGCCACCACCCACAACAGAGGTCTCCCTGCCCACACCCCTCACGTCTGCAGCTCCAGCAGGGCAGGGGATGTGGGGGGACTGGGGGACAGCAGGCGGTGGCAGCCCTCCAGGTCTTGCAGCACCTCAAAGAGCTGGCTCAGCCCCGGGGGCACTGGGGCACCTGCGGGGGGGACCAAAGGGCAGTGATACCAGACCTCCCCAAAAACACACAGGATGCCCCAAACAGAGCATCCCTGATGGGGATGGGGAGCTGAGGGTTCCTCCCTCTGTTCCCCCAAGTGTCCCCCTCATCACTACCTTCACTGCAGACCTGGGGGTCATTCTGGGGGTCCTCCATCTTCACCAACTCCCAGTACTTCTCCCTGGGGAGAAGGGTATGGGGGAGACAGAGCCTTTGTGGGGCAGGGGACACACAGGGGGTTGTCCTCCCTGTTGTCCCCCCCCATGAGGGGCTCACCTGAGGGGCTGCTGGAGGCCGTGGAGGTGCTGGAAGAGGCGCTGTGCCTCTGCGTCGGGATCCAGGGGGTCACTCCAGTCCTGCAGGGTGACACCGTGCCGGGTCCGGTCGCACCCCAGCCCTGTGGGACAGAGGGCTGGCGATGGGTTTTTTTGGGGATGCAGGCACCCCACTAACACCCCCACACCGCATCCTGGCCACCCCCCGTACCCGTCCTGTCCTTCTGGTGGCAGCAGGTCCACTTGTCCCCCCTGAAGACGCCGGGGTGGTAGGCGCAGAGCAGCTGGGGGTTGTTGCCGCACACCTTGCGCAGGGCGGACAGCCACTGGTTCAGCTCGTTGACGCACTGCCGCAGGGGACGGGGTGGAGATGGGGTGTCCCAGCTGGCTGACACCCCCCATCCCCACCCCGGTCCCATCCCACCTTGCACTGCAGGTAGGCCGTCTCCTGCTGCCCGTTCTCCTCCACGTAGACGACCTGCATGACGTGGCAGCTCCCGAAGCTCTTCTCCTCCACCTTCTCGGCCGCACGGATGTTGGCCAGGGCGATGGAGCCGATCCTCTGCCAGATGGGGGATGGTGCTCAGTGCCACCCCAGTCATGGTGGGCTTCCACCTCCTCTTGTGCCCCCCTTACCTCTGCCCCAGGGCTCTTGGCAAAGCTCAGGGCCTCCCCGGTGAGGCAGAAGTGGAGCTTCTTGGCAGCACACGACAGCAGCGGCCCCTTGCCCCGCGTCTTGTGGACGAAGAGCAGCCCCTCCTTCACCACGGCAGCAGGGGGGCTCCGCAGCCTCCCCTCGCCACCGTCCTCCTCCTCCTCCGTCCCCACCAGCCGGGTGATGAAGGCCTTCATCTGGCTGGCACCCTGCTGCAGGGCGGGCTGCAGTGGGGCCAGCCAGGCCTCCTTGGCCCTTCCCGCTGCCGGCTCCATGTTGCCCACCATCTGGATGGCCTGCAGACCACGGGACGGTGGCGTCACCACCACCGTGACATCGCTGCCATCCATCCCCTGCCGTCCCCTGTCCCACCTTGGCCAGGAGCAGCAGCGTGCGGCTGGTGCGCGCGTCGGCGTGCGCGTCCCGCAGGTGGAAGAGCTTGGGGGTCATGATGGCCGGCGAGAAGAAGCGGAGGCAGAGGAAGCTGGTGACGGCCACGAACTTGGCGTGCTGCGGCCACACCAAGATGTGTGAGGGCCCATCCTGGTGTAGGACACCCCCAGGCACCATGGCTATCGATGCTGAGGGGATGCGTGGGCTGGCTACCAGCACAAGGGCCAACCCCGTATTTATGTGGGACCTTGCCAAGATGGGAGCTGGAGGAACCTCGCCTTGCCAAGGCTCTGCTCCTTGGTGCTGGGGTGCTGCCTGGGGTGCTCTGCTCCCTGGGGACCTCCCCACGGGCCCTGCTCCATAGGCAGGAGCAGAGGCCACCAAGCAGACTGGGACGGCCCCAGCACACCCTGCCTTTTGGCAATATCCCTTCTTGACCCTCCCAAAGAGACTTCCACCTTCATGGCGTGGTGTGACACCAGCCTCCACGGCCCTCCAGCCCCACCGCAGGCTTTGACCAGGGTCCCCGCACCCAGCCTGACCTGGTGCTCTGGGAAGCGCTCCCCCACGCGCTGGAAGAGCTGCCGGAAAGCGGCGCGGATGACGGGGGGGCAGGTGGGGGCCGACTTGCTGATGGTGTCCAGCAGCTCCCCTGAGGTAGGACTGGAGATGCTGGCGGCCCTGCTCCATCACCTCGCTCTCCGTCTGCACCCGGTGCAGCCCCGAGCACCTGCGGGCACCACCGGAGCCCATCAGCCCCATGCCGGGGGCAGCCCCAGACCATCGCCATCCCCCCCCCCCCCCGTGCCCCTTACCCAACGTCTTTGATCTCCACCTTGCTGGGGTCCAGCTCCACGTACTTCTTCTCCTCGAACACACGGGTGATGATGGGCCCCAGAACCGCGTGCAGGTACTGCATCCCCGTCACCTGCCGGGGGACCACAGCCGTGTATTTGGCAGCCGACACCCCCGTCCCCAGGGCCACCCAGGGGATATTCTTCAACTCCTGGCCCCAGGGGGAGAAACAGCCCCAGCAGGGCTCCCCCTTGGGGACCTGGCACGAGCAGGGTTTGGGCTGAAGCTCCCCGTGGGTCTGGGGCAGTGTGGCACCTTGAGGAAGGACTCCATCGACTTTGAGGCCAAGGAGTTGCTCCGAAACAAAGTGTTGGGCTCGCCTGTGAAAGGGGAGAGGGGCTGTGGGGACGGCCCTGGGTCACCCCCAGGAAGCTGCAGCCATGGGGGTGTTCCCAGGGGCTCTGCCCTTCACCCCCTGCCCGTTCTCGCTGCAGTCAGAGGTTTCCCAGCCTCAAACCATTGCTCCTCCACCAACTACAGCCAACACCGCCAGCAAATTCCTCGGGATGATCCCAGCAGGTTCCCACCCACAGCACAGCACGACGGCTGTGCCCCCAGGAATCACCACGCGAGGTTGCAGAGATTTTGCAGCCCCAAGAGAAGGCTGGGAGCCCCCGGCACCGCTCCCCAGCCCAGCCTTACAGGGCTTGGCCAGCTCCAGCTCAAAGAGCAGGTCCAGGAACTCCTTCACCAGCCCTTGGCCCAGGAAGAGCTTCACCAAGTTGACGGCGACCTCCTGCCGGCACTCGGCCGTGGTGGTTTCATCGAGGAGGGTGACCAGGTGTACCCGGCCGTCCTGGAGGGGAGAAACACGAGGATGTGGTGGCCCGAGGGAGACGCACACCCACACCCACATCCCCATCCCGGACCCCTCACCTGGCACCCCGACTTCACCTCCTGGCAGAGGAGCTGGACCAGGGGCTGGTAGCAGTGCGAGGGCAGCACCGTCTCATCCCGCAGCCTCAGCTGCAGCTGCAGCGAGCCCAGGCTGCCTCGGCGCCTGCAGGAACACGGCGTGCACGTCCCCACCACGTCCCCCCTTGCTCATCCCTACGGTGCGCCCCGGTGCCCAGACTCACCCGTCCTCCCTCGGCTTGGAGCTGTGGGGCTGCAGCCTGAACCAGCCCTCCTGCCGCCCGGCCGCCCGCAGCCCCTGCATGCCGAACACCACCTGGGTGGGAAGGGGAGGTTCAGAAATGCTCCTTGCCTTCCCCACAACCTGCAGGGGCGGGTGGCGGTGCTTTTTGGGGCTCACCTTGCCCAAGAAGTCGTTCTTGCTGACGAGGTCCCAGTCCCACACCTCCACGCACAGCTTCTCCCCGGCGGGCTCGGGCAGCTCGAACTCGAAGGATTCGTTCCAGCGCGGGTAGCAGGACTTCTTCACCACCTGCAAAGGCAACGGCTTCGCCCCTTTGCCGCGGGGATTTCATCCCTCTGGGGACACTGAGGGCTCCCCGCTGAGGGTTTTCCCTGCACTGCCACAGGCTGCGGGATGGGATAAGCTGGAGCAGGACTCACGGTGCTCTCCTGTGTCTTGCCGTTGTAGCGCACACGGACGAAGGGGTCAGAGGCTCCGTTCCGGTCCTTCTTGGCCAAATCCCTGCGGAGAAGAGAGGGGACGTTCCAGCTAACCCCCAAAACACCGAGCTGCACTCCTGCTCCCCTCCTTGGTTCCCCTGCCTCAGGCACAATGGGGAAACCGAGTCACAGAGCAGCCAGGACTCACCAGAGAGCAGCAGGCAAGGAGCTGCCCACGCCACCCCGGGAGCGGGACATCCCCGTCCCCATCCCCTCACCTGGCCTCCAGCACGGTGCAGCGCAGCCGCCGGCCACCCTCGCCCTCCAGGAGCTCCACGCAGAGGTGGATTTCCCCCTGCACCTCCTCGTCGGGATCCACCTCGCTGAGGCTCACCCAGCCGCTGTACCCTGCGGGGACAACGGGCACCGTCACGGGGGGACCCGGGCACGCCTCTGGCACCGGCTGGCTGCAGGGCTGGGGACAGCCCCCCCATCCCCTACCCTTGGGGTGCTCTGCCAGCATGGCGCGGGTGATGCAGACCTTCCCGATCACATCGTCACGGCTGCAAAACACAAGCAGGGAGGTGTCGGGGGGGGTGGCACAAAGGGACAGGGGATGAGGCACCCGGGGGTCCTGGGCTGGGATCCCCACGGTGCTGCTGTTCCCACCTCAGCCACTGCTCGCTGCCACCTCGGGCTCAGGACACCACATCCAGCACCATCCCCTCCCAGCCTGGATGTTTTTGTGTCCTAAAACCCACACCTGCGTGGCCAGCTGTGGGTTCTCTGGTGTCTGCTATGGGGCTGAGCAGACTGCCCGTCCCCCATAAGCGCCGAGCTCCAGCTCCCCAGCCCTAAACCCTGCCCGTACCTGAGCGCGTCCTCATCCATGACATAGATGGAGACGCTGTGAAAGGTGGGCTGCAGGTGCACCTCAGTACTCCTCCCCCCAGAACGGGGACAGCGTCTTCCACACCGTGGCAGTCCTGCGGGGCAGACGGCACCGCTGATGTTGGGGACAGAGCCCCACGAGCGTTTGATGACACCTGCCTGGGGTGCAGCACCCGCAGCGGGGTGGCTTACGGGGCAGGGCTTGGCCGTGGGCTACCGGGCATCGTGGCCCATGCCTTGAGGAGGGGCTCAGCCCAAAGCAGAGAGGGCAGAGGGGCTGGACCCGCTCACCTGATGATGGGCTCATTGTCGATCTTCACGATGCAGTACGGGTCACTGCTCCCCGTGCTGGAAGGCAACGGCACGGCCCCAGTCAGTGCCGCCGGTCCCGCGGCTGCAGGCACGCGGCGAGCCCGGCTTCGCAGCCCTGACCCCAGCATCCTGCTGGCAGCCAAAGGCAGCTTCTCTTCCAGATAGGAAGGCGAATAACAAACAAATCCCACCCTTTCCCCAAAGTGAGTGTTTGCAGGCCTTTTTGGCACACACCGGGAGCCACAACAGCCTCCTCCAGCCCCGAGACGGACCCAGAGCCCGGACATCCCCAGGGACACCCTGTGGTGACGCAGGGCGAGGGCAGCGCGTGCCTTGGCCACCGCAGGGTGTTTGTGGCCACCACGATGCTCTGAGCCCGCATCCTCCCCGAGGACGGCCCCAGTCACTGTTCCCGTATGCCGCTGCCAAAAAATCACCACTTGACAGCCGGGCCGAGTTCCTCAGAAAGGGGGTGACTCAGCTGCAGGCACGGATGGGGCCGGAGGTGGAGGAGCCATCGGGACCCGTGTGCTGGCCAAGGAGGTGGAAAGGGATCTGCTCAGCGTGCGTCTGGGGGCACCCATGGGTCCTGGCTGCCCCGAGCGCTTTAAAACGACGGCTGGGGAACCACATGGGTCCAGGTGTGATTCACATCACCACACACGGCTGCCAGGGGATGAAAAGGGTTTGGGATGCTCCCTGCCCTGCACAACGCAGCTGCTGGGGGACCAAAGGGGTCCAGGAGGACCCACATGGCCATGTGGGGCTGCCACCAGCATCGGGGGCCTCACAGCTCGGCCACTTGGCCGTCCCCACGGAACACGGGTTGGCTCCGGAGAGCGACAGGAGGCCGGAAAACAAAATAAACAAGCGAGAGCAAACAGCCCCAATCTGCCTTCACCATCTCCCTTTCAACACGCCGGGGACCTTGCCCCCGCGCTCCGTTTCTGTGTGCTGCACGCCCTGGGCACGGTGCCGGCGTCCCCGTCCCTTGGTGTCCCCTCCTGGGGCACCCCCGATGTTGGGCAGGTTGCTAAGAGCCTCCCAGCCACAGCCAAGCAGGTTTTAAATGAAACCAGGGGATTAAGCACCATTAACCCGAAACCACCGCCGTTCCCTGCCTTATGCAAACCATTAAGCGGGCAGCGAGTACACAGACGGAGAGCCACCATCTGCCCAGCTGAGCTCTGCCGAACAGCACGGAGCGGGTTTTCGGTGCCGGCGGCTGTAGGGGCACTGTGCTGAGTTTTCCTGCTAACCCTGAATTTTGGGGAGCTCCCAGCACGGTCAGCATCAGCGCTGCAGCGCCCAGCCACAGCCCCAGAGCAGCGCCGGGGGATTTGCATGTGAGCAAAGCACGGGGATGCGCTGAGCACCTGGGCTTGCGCATCGCTTGCTCCTGGCTGGTCCCAGCCACCAGCACGGGGGATTAAAACCCAGGTCTGCCAAAATCTGCTGCTTCAGAGCCTGCACTTTGCAAGGGCTGGGGATAAATCCCCTGGGGGCCCCGCAGCCTGGGCAGGGTCACGCAGCCGAACACCCTGGATTATGTTGTCTCTGCAGCATCGCCACCAGCACGCGTTGAATGGCAGGGAAGGCGATTTTGCAGGCTCTCCGCGGGTGCTGGGCATCCTGCTGCCACCCACGCAGCTGGCTCTGTGTCCGCCCAGCCCTGGAGCACAGAGCCCGAGCGTTGTGATGGAGGGGAAGAAGATGGGAAGGGGCAAGGTCGGGCTTTAGAAGGAGAAAACACACAAAAAAAACGAGGGGTAGGGCGAGAGGTGGTGACGTGCCGGAGGGCAGGAGCTGCAGCAGGCTTCTGCCTCTTTATGGGCAGCTCCACGGGTTCGTGGCTGCCCGGCGGCCCCGCTGCCAAACCACGCTCGGGGCGGGCGCCCGCATGAGGAACAGAAACAAACGGCGCTGCTTCTGCTCTGGGAAGAGGGGGGGAACCCACAGGAACAGCGGCGGGGCGAAACTTTGCAGCGCAGCGGTGCCGGGCTGGGGTAGAGCCCAGCAAAACCCCTCTGCTGCTGTGAGAACGGGGCTGCAGGGTCCTGGGGGGGGCACCAAGTGCAGCAGCATCACCCAAATCCTGCTGCTGAGCACCGTGGCTGCAGTGAGGAAGGATTCCTCCATCGGATTTAGATGGAGAACCCCGCCGGTGCAGACCTGCCCGCCCTGCCAGGAGCAGGTTTTCCCCCCCAGCCCGAGCTCAGAGGCCATGAATTATGTTGTGCAGGGTTTATGGCTGCCAGCAGCACAGCGCAGACCTCGAAGCTTTTGTTCTTGCAGCCTCCGGAGTGGTCACAGCTTTAAATGTCAGGGTGCCCGGGGACTCGCCGTGCTGCACCCACGGAGAGGGAAGCCCGGGGCTGGGGGTGTTTGTGAACGGGCAGCCCCGGTGACATCCCGGATTTCCTTAGGGAAATCCCAAAGGCTGCCTGAGACAGGGCGGAGGACCAGGATGCCATAAATCAGCGGGATGCCATAAATCAGGGGCAGGAGCAGGGGAGGGGACGGCAGCGCTGAGACGTGGCCGAGGTCAGGCAGCAGCAGGTGAATGCATCGGGTCTGTGCTTGGGTTTCCCTCCCGGGGCAGCCGCTGCCCCTGCCCCAATCCTCGTGCCCACGGGGCTGGAAAGCTCTGCTCCCATCTGGAAACCTCCACTCACGGCGGCGTCATCCCTCCCGCAAAACGTTCCTCCTAAAAAACAGAACCTCCCCTTGCTGGTCCGAGTTCCCAGCGGGGATGGATGCCAAGGGGTTTAAAAAAAAATAAATAAAAGCCAGGCCTTGACACATGGGGTTAAAAAAAAAAAAAAAAAAGGGCAAGAAGAAAAAAAAAAAGTCATGTTTCTTTCCTTGTTTATCCTCTTTTTCCATGACGGCTGTAGGGTTTTTTTGCTTTTTTTTTCCAGCAGCCCCGACCCTGCCAGGCTGCAGCGTGCTCCTCGATGGCATCCTGTGGGCTCCACGCCTGGGTCCCCCCGTGCTGCCCCCACGTCCTGCCCCGTGGCGATGCCGGGACACACGGACAGCCCTTGGGGGGCCGCCAAGGAGGGAAAACCCGACCCGATGGGGACACCGACGGAGCCCCCGGGCTGGGTGCTGGGAGATGAGCGGGGACAGAGGGACAGGGACACCCCGCTTTGGGTGACAGCCCTACTGGGGTCCCTGTGTAGGACCCAGCTGCAGGTGGGGGTGTATGGCTGCCCCCACCCCCAAAATTATAGGGGCTGCTTTAAAGCACCGTGCTGGGACACCCCCAACGCTGGGTGCTCCTGGGAGGGAACCTCAAAGACATCCCAGGGGTGTCCCAAAAGCCGGGGGGGCACCAAAGCACACTAGGGATGGCTGTGGGCACCCCAGAGCCCCCCCAGAGGGGGTCCCTAAAGCACAGGCACTGCTGGGGGCGCCGCACCAAAGCCACCCTGGGGGAAACCCTAAAGGAAGGAGCACCCCAAAGCCATATGGGGGGGGACCCCAAAAGCACAGGCACTGCCGGGGCGGTCCCAAAACCATTCCGGGCCATCCCCCAAACCACGGGGGGCTCCCCAAAACCCCGGGAGCGCTCCCCCAAATCCCGGGGTCTCGCTGCGGGGCGCACCCCAAATCCATGGCGGGGGTGAAGCAGCACGGGGGCATCCCAAACCCTTCCCGGATCCCCCCCCCAGGGCCCGTGGGCACTCACATGTCCTTGGCGGGCAGGTCCCTGCCCTCCACGATGCGCACGGCCAGGGCGCTGCGCAGCGCCATGGGGGCGGCGGCACCGCGCGGACACGGCGGGACTCGAACCCGCGGCCCCTCCGCACGCAGCACATGTGCCGGCCGGCGCCGCGGGCAGCCAATCAGCGCGCGGGGCGGGGACAGGGGGCGGGGCCTGAGAGGAGGTGGGCGGGGCCTGGGGGAGGTGGGCGGGGCCTGTGGGGTGTGGGCGGGGCGAGGCGCGCAGGGGGGCGGGGCCCAACCCCCGGGTTTCGCCTGGGTTGGGGTTTTCCTTTTTTTTCCCTTTTTTTTCTTTTTTTCTTTCTTTCCTTTGTTTGTTCTTTCCCTTTCTTTCCTTTTTTTCCATTCCCCCCTCTTTTCCCCCGTTTTTTTCACTTTTTTCCTCTTTTCCCTCTTTTTTCCCCTTTTTTCCTCTTTTCCCCCTTTTTTCCCCCTTTTTCCCCCTTTTCTTTTTCCCATTTTTCCCCTCTTTTATTTTTCCTTTTTTCCCCCTCTTTTCTTCCCCCCTTCCCTTCTTTCATTTTTTCCCTTTTTTCCTTTTCTTTCTTTTTATTTTCTTTTCCCTCTTTTCCCCCTTTTCTTTTTCCTTTTTTTCCCTCTTTTATTTTTCCTTTTTTTCCCCATCTTTCTTTTCCCCCTTCCTTTCTTTATTTTTTTTCCTTTTTTTCCTCTCCTTTTCTTTCTATTTTCTTTCCCTTTTTTTCCCCCTTTTCTTTTCCCTCTTTTATTTTTTCCCCTCTTTTATTTTTTTTCCCCTCTTTTCTTTTCCCCCTTTTTTCATTTTTCCCCTTTTTTCCTTTTCTTCCTTTTTTTTTTTTTTTTTTTTTTTTTAATTTCTTTCCCTTTTCCTCTTTGTTTTTCCTTTTTTTTTTTGGCAGGTTGGGGCTGTGCCCGTGGTGTCACGAGGGGGTGGGCTCGGTGCACTGAACACACCTTCAGCAATGTGCAGGGAGCAGGGAAACCCTCCCGGGGCACCTCTCTGCTAAAGGACACCGAGGGGCCTTGGCATTTGTGCCCAGCTGCTGCGGGGACACCGTGGGGACATTGCAGGGACATTTTAGGGACACCACAGGGACACCATGGGGACACGGTGGGGACACCGTGGGATCATGCTGTCCTGTCCTGTGGCTCATGGGGGCGGTTTGCAGAGCGGGGGCAGGCGCCTCCCGCTGCCCTTGCAGCGAGCACAGCGCCCGGGGCTCTCCCGGCCCCACAGAAACCTGGGGGGCTGCCACCACCCCCAGGCTGCCCCTTCCCCAGGCTCTGTGGGGTGAGCCCAGGCCCTGCCTTACACCGGGGGGCTTCCCAAAGCAGACCAAGCACGGGAACGCCTTCCCCTCCCCAAACCCCAAACCCCAAACCCTCGCCACGTTATGGGGCCGGGACACTCGGCGAGGCTTCACAGGAGGCCACAGAGGGAGGCAGAGGCGGGCAGGGGGCAGGCAGAAATCCCATTTATCTCCTCTCCCACTCAGCCCGCGGTCACCCCGGGGTCCCATGGGGGGGTCCCGGCGGGTGGCGGGGCTCAGAGGCGCGCGGCCGGCTGGTCGTAGACGTGGTGGGTGTTGTAGCGCCGCACCGACGCCGCCTCCGGCTTGAAGACGCCTCCACGGCCACACGGGTCGGAGCTGGGGGGACAGGGGCACGGGGTTAGGGACACGGGGTGCTGGCGTCACCCCCCCACCCCTCGCGTGCCCCCCGGACTCACCCGCTGAAGGCCAGCGTGGCCACCAGGCCGGCCAGCAGCAGGGCGAGGAGGATGGAGAGGATGGAGGTGATGGCGATCATCTCGGCGCTGCGCTTGCCGCCCGCCCCGGGGCCGCTCGGGGGCTGCTGGGCTGGGGGGGGAGAGAGATCGGGGTGTGGGGGGGCAGCACCTCGTGGGGGGCACGCCCACGGCAGCACCCTGCCTCAGTTTCCCCCCTGGTACCTGTCCTCAGGGTGATGGGCTGCGACCACTGGGTCTCGGCCACGGGCTCGGTGCCGTTCAGGGCGAGGAACTTCACCCTGGGGGAGGAGGGCAGGTGGTGGGGTGGGGTCGGCACCCACCAGGGCTGCGCCCCCCCCGTGTCCTCCCCAATACCAGGCTCTCACTTGTAGGGCCCGGGGCCGGGCAGGGGGCCGTTACAGGTGGGTACGGCGCTGTTTTTGGCACAGCTGCTCTCGCTGCCCACACGCAGCACCGTGATCTCCGGGGGGTTTTTGGAGCAGGGGTAGTTTAGGATGGTGGCTTCGAGCGTCAGGTAGGCGGAGGTGTTGGTGGGGAAGTTCTGGAAAGCCCACTGGGGCAGCCCCGGCTGCACGCTGGTGGGGAAGCTCACGGGGGCTGCGGGGACGAGGGACGGCGGTGAGGGGAGGGGACACGCTGGGACCCCCCCCCAAGTGTCCCCACCACCTACCCGCGGCCTCGGCCACCACCAGCCAGATGCTGGTGGCTGTTCCTACCGCGGTGACATTGTCAAAGGCGCAGCGGGGCTGCTCCAGCACGAAGGTGCTGCCGGTGATCCGGCCGCTCATCTTGTGCTCGGTGAGGATCGGCTCGTACGGGAGCTCCTCTGCGATGAAAACGCGATGAGAGCGGAGCCCCCGGCCCCGGCTGGAGCAGGGGCTGGGGGCTCAGGACAGCACCGGGGGGGTTGGCACAGCGGGAGCTGCCCCGGGGGGATCCCGGCTGCGTGGCCCCCTCGCCTCCCAGCTCCGCCCCGCCGCTCATTTTGGGTTCAAACACAGCAAGTTTGATGAAAAGACGCAGCGAGGCCCCTCGGTGCCACCACCCATGGAGAGACACAGCCCGGGGAGACCCCAAAGCCCCCAGGGCCGTGCTGCAGGACCCAGCTGGGTGCCACCCGCGAGGGTCCCAAAGCGGGGGTGTCCCCAGAAAGGGGGTGCCCCGCACCTCCTGCAGCCCCCGTGCCCATACCGAGGGGACACCCACGAGCAGGAACATCACCCTCCCCCACCCCTTTTCCCCCTAGCCCATTTTGGGGAGGGGGTCACGCCGTGAAGCCCCCCCAGAGCACAGACTCACGCAGGCCGTGGGCCGCCGCCAGCAGCAGGAGGAGCAGGGGGAGCATGGTGCAGGGGCTGGGTGCCGAGCGCCGAGTGCGGGCGGCGGGCGGGGGACGCGGGGTTTGGCCCCAGGGGACCCGCCTGTGGCCTCCAACCACCCACATTCCTGCGCCGAGCCACGGCCCCGCAGCAAACAGGTCGGGCCCGTTCCCCCGGGGAGCATTTCCTACGCCTGGGTGCCCGCCGGGAGGCGCGCAGAGAACGGGCACGCTCGTGGCAGGGGTGCGCCATGGCCCGCACCTCGCCAGTGGGACCCGCCTCGACCCCCAGCTGCAGCCTCCCCAGCAGGGACCTCGATTTTGGGGTCCGGTGCCCCCGTTCTTGGTGTTGGGGCCACCTGGGGAACAAAGCACCAAGGGGAAGGCCGTGCGGCGAGGAAGGGCGAGGAGGGGAGGCCGTGCTACTAGGAGTTTACTCGGCAGCGCAGGGAGCGCGAGGGGCAGAGCAGCTCCTGGCCGCTCGGCAGCACCCGCAGCAGAGGGGCTGAGGCAGGGCGGGGGAGATGTGGTGGGTCCTGTAGGAGCGCTGGGACAAGGCAGCCCCAAAATCCCGGTGGCACAGGAGTCTCCACGCCTCGGCGCTGCGGGGAGGCAAAAGGAGGCATTGAGCAGGGTCCCCACAGCTCCAGCTGGCCCCCAAGGGACCAAACCCCACAAAAACCACCCCCTTCTTTCCACCATACATCTAAAACCCCAAATCAAATTAAAAAAAAAGGTCTTTAACTCTTAAAATCCTCTCTGCTCCCTCTCTTTGTCCTCAGGATCAAGGAGGGGATGCTCTCCCAGGACCCCATGGACACATCCCCCCCAGCACGGCCCCGCTCAGCCCTCGTACCCCACGGCACCGAGCGCTGCCACGGCCAGCCCGGCGCCGAGGCTGGCCAGGATGGAGGCGATGACGACCACGTCGCTGCTGCGCTGTGTGGGTGCGGGGTCAACGGTGCTCGGGCTGCGGGCTGGAAGGGCACAGGGTGAGGGACACATGGGGAGGATGGGGGGCACCCAGGAATAGGGTGAGCAGGGGAGCCTGGGGAGCTCTCCTCCCTTCTGGGGTTTGGGGTGGTGGCACGGAGGTGATGCCGCAGCCCAGGGGATGTGGGGGGAAGGTGGTGCTGTGCCAGCCCCACTGCCACCAGTACCTCTCCGCAGGAGGATGGGGTCGGACCACCTCGTCTCCGCTTTGGGGCCGTGGCAGCCCATCACCAGGAACTTCACCCTGCGGGACGGGCACCACCGGGACAACACAAACCCTGGGGGATACCCTGCGGGTCCCTGGGGATGGGGAATTCCCCCGGGGGTCCCACCCATCCCACCCATCCCATCTCACCTGTAGGGCCCCGGGGAGGGCAGGGGCCCGTTGCAGGCTGTTTGGCCGTGCTGGCCCCCGCATGCTGCAGTCCCCACCGACCCGCAGCACCGGGCCGGGCACCGAGCAGGCGTAGGCGGCCGCTGCTGTCTCCAGGGTCATGTAGGCGTGGGTGGTGGGCAGCCCCTCGTAGAGGGGGACATCGGCACGGGACGGGGGGTTTCTGAAGGTGGCCGAGGCTGCGTGGCACAGGACAGAGGGGTGAGCAGCCACTGGCAAGGGTCCCCGATGTCCCCCCGCTGCACCGGGTGCTCACCGTTGGCGAAAGCCACCACCAGCCAGACGGTGTCGGAGGCGTTGGCGAGGCGGTGGAAGACGCAGCAGGGTCTCTCCAGGCACGAAGGTGGTGGCCGTCACCTTCCCCAGCAGGGCCCCGGGGGGCACGCGGGGCTCGTAGGGCAGCAGGGCTGGGGGCACGGCCGTGAGCCAGTGGCACGGGGATCCCAGCTCGTGGCTGTGCCAGGGTCACCCCAGTGGGATGGCAGCCACGCAGAGCCCCCCCAAACCCACAAACAGCCCCATGACCCCTCCCCAGCACCAAAACCCATGGGGAAGCCACCCCACAGCCCCCGTGTCCCCCCCAAGGATTCACCCAGGCCGGTGGCTGTGCCCATCGCAGCCAGCGCCAGCAGCACCCGCGGCAGCTCCATGGCCGTGTCTGTGCCGGGCTGTGTCCCACTGCCGAGGGGCTGAGCAGCCCCGGGTGCCCCCCCTGAGCCCGGCCCTCCCAGCCCCGCATTCCTGCGATGGCTCCACCAGCACGGCCAGACCCCGGGGGGCAGAGGAGGACAGGGCCCCTCCCGGGTCACCACGGGTCCAAAAAACAGCCGGGAGCCATCAAACCCCAGACACGAGGCACCAAGGCTGCGGGCACCAGCCTGGGCTAGGAAAGGGGAAACTGAGGCACAGAGGTGGGACTGGGAGACTTTGGTGGTCCTGTCCCCCCCCAAGAAGTGCCTGGGCCCTGCAGGTGCCCCGTGCCCACCTCGGCACCCAGAGCCACGCAGGTTTGGCACGGGGCTGGCCTTGCCCTGTGGGTAGGGAAGCAGCTGGAGCTATCACACCCAAAACTTGCCCAAACCCCGAACCATTCTGCTCCCACCCAGCGCAGAGGGCGGGGAGGCAGCCGAGCTGCCCTGTCCCCATCCTCACCCTTCGCTCGTGCCAGGGCTGGGCCATCACAGCCCCCTTCACCCCCAGGAACTAGGCCCCCCCCAGCCCTTGGGATGGGGCCCGGGAGCTGTGCCAAGGCTTCGTGCCCCCCCCGGCTGCTCTCCAGGCTGTGGGGCTGAGTGTGCCGTGTGTGTGCTGTTTGCCAAGGGCTGTGGCTGCCCTTCCTGCACGGGAAAGGATTTCCCCCTCCCTCTCGAAGGGGCTGTGGCTTCTCCTTCAGATTAAGTGGAAATGGGGCAGCCGGGGATTATAGGGAGGGGGGAACCCAGCACAGCTGCAGGCACCCTCCTGCCTCTCCACCCCAACGCATTCCCCATGCCAGAGGTGGGGAAACTGAGGCACGGCAAAGGCAAAAGCCCCCTCCCCAGGGTGAAACCCCAACTCCTGGCCCCTGGGGGTGATGCCAAGCTCGCTCAGCACCCACCTGGGTGACGTGGCACAGGGACACTGAGTCACAGTTTCAGCTGCCAGTCCCTGCCCCGCGGCCACGGGGTCAGCATAGTTGTGGGGTCAGCCCTAAAAATAACCAGCGTGGGGCAAAGTTGCTGGGGAGGAACCCACACCATGGGGCTCGAGGCCCTCAGCAGAGCACGGAGCAGCCCAGGGGCAGGGAGGCTGCGGCTGATTCAGGCCCAGGAGCATCGGCTGCAGGGAGGGCTCCTGCGTGCCTCCAGCCCCACTCAGCAGGAAATTCTTGCTTTGCGCAGGGCCAGGGCAATTTTCATCTCAATTCTCTGTTTTGTTTGCTGGGACAACACCATCCGGGGATAGAAAGCTGAGCTCTGAGCTAGAAACCTCTTATTTCACAAGCGAGGTGGGAGAAGAACAAACCCAACCCATTTCTGGGCAGCTCCCAGGCACCTACCTGCTGCTTCCAAGGAGCTCCTGCTTTTCACAGCATCCCCAGCTTGGCTGCATCTGAGAGCTTTAAAACCCCAAAGCCCTTAGCAGAGGCTGGTGATGAGAGGGTTAGCCAAGAGGATGCACGCACCAGACACCAGGGAGAGCTGGCGATGCCTCCAAGAACCCTTCCATTTTCATACTTGGTGCGATGGAGAGGCCCCAGCAGGAGGAACACCACCCCTTGGCAGCACCCAAAGGGCCACGGTGCTCACAGCCCCGCAGCCAGGGGAGCAGAGTGGCACAGGGACTGTCACCACCCGGTGGCACCAGCACCAATCTGTCTCAGCAGCCACCTCCGACAGAGGCCCCCCCTCGGGCACAAAAACCCCAGCAGCTGGCTGCAGAGCTAAGGAGCAGCCCCCAAAATGCTGCTGCTTCCTTCAAAGGACACAGGGAGCCAGCAAGCTGCAAGTCAAACCCTTGGGATCAGCACCCGGTGCCCTGCCTCTGCAGGGAGCTTTGTTCCTCCAGCAGAGCTGAGCTTTCCCTCCCTTCTCCCATTTTGAGGATGCTGGTCTCTCAGGGAGGGACGCAGATAGAGGAGGCAGCCCAAGCCAGCAGGAAGGGTGAAGGCAAAGCAGGGACACTCCCTGGAAGTGAGGCACTTATTGCAACCGAGCAGAGATCCAGGGGCAGGAGGGAGGTGGCTTTGCTCCAAGAGGTGCCTCAGACAAGGAGTGGCAGTGTAGGAGAGGCTCTCCTGTCCTTCCCTTCCCAAGGGGTCTCTTGGAGAGCGAGGTGCTCCCCTGTCCCTCTAGGACCACCAGGGCTGGGGTCCCTGGGCTCCCACCTTCCCCAGGGTGTCTATCACCTCACCACCGCTCCTGCAGCCGGTCCTGGCTTCGGCCACCAACCCTACCTGGAGATGCAATGCCATTTTCTACAAAAAACAGCCTTCCCTCCAGAAAAAGAGACTGTACAGAACAGGCAGGAGTCCTGCGTTACAGTGTTATTGCTTAGTGTGACAGGCAGTCAGACGTAGGAACTTAAGGCAACAGGAATAAGTGCACTGGGTGGGCTCCCAGGCTGCGGGCCCGGAGATGTGCACGGCACAGCCGCCCCCCGACCCCGGCTCATTTCCTCAGGCAGTCCTCGGTGACACCCTGGGCGGCCAGCTCTGCCAGCACATTGTCCAGGTAGTTGGGGTCAGGGTAGCCGTGGCCGCTCAGGTTCGTGTCCATCTCGGTTTTGTGGTGGATCTCATTCCACACCACTGTGTTGCTCTCACCGGTGGTGCTGGAGGTGCCCACTGTGAAGATCAGGCGTCGCTTCCAGGCCACCTTCAGGAGCTCCAGGACCTGGATGGAGAAGGGAAAAAAAAGGAAAAAAAAACAAATCAAGACTGTCCTTCAGCAGCTAAAGCCACGAAAGCTGCTTGCCAGAAGCTTAACAGCCTAAATCCCTGTCCCTGATGGGAAGAACGACTCCCTGTGCTTTGAAAAACACCGGCACAAGCTGAGGCAAACGGGGCCACCCGCAGGAAGCAGGGCTGGGAGGAGCCGGCAGGCAGAGCTCAGCAGCTGCAAGTGCAAAGCCCAAGACAGGCCAGGAGGGTTTTCCCAACTCACAGGGGCTTTTGGTTGATAAAGGGCTGAAATAGGGCAAGTCCTTGCTTCTGCACAACTTTGACTGCAAAGATCTTTATAAAAAAAGGGGCTACAGATGGAGCAGACTGCAAGAACAGGGGGTTTGCATCATGCTCCTAAAGCAAACGCTGTGCAAATCCACCAGCACAGGGCCCAGAAGCCAACCTGAGAAGAGCCACGCTGTCAGCACGATGCCTCACCTTCCTGCCTTTCTCGTTGTCTGGTAGGTAGCAGTAGCGAGGAAAGCCTCTTGCTGTGTAAGGCATGCCAGGGTTGGGGTGCTCGGGGCCCTGCAATAGATAAGACATTTGGAACGCTTTCATCTTCATAAATGACCCCTCGGCAGCAGGATTTAGGATAAGCAGGAGGATTTGACATCAGCTCATCTCAGCCCAGCTCTTCCATGTAAGAGGAAGAAGGCGCTGCTGACTGTAATTCCTATGGGATGTGCCAATATCTGATGGGCACAACCCCAAACCACACAGCCTGATGATGCTTTCAGAAGAAACACTCGCACCTTCGGCTGGCTGCTCAGTGCTGGGCTGCCCGCAGGTGCTGCAGTGGCAGGAGACACGAGCACACGGAGCTCACCTGAATGCCTCTGCTGATGTGGTACACGATCTGGATGGTCCCGCAGTCCTTGTGGCCAGGGAGGGACTGGGGAAAAGTGGAGACCTCCATCCTCCCTTTGGGCTGGGTCCCCGTTTTCTCCCCGTAGATGGTCTTACAGGAGGGGCACTGCAGGCTGCCGTCCTGCAGGTGGGGGGGGGGAAAAAAGCAGGCATCAGAGCTCCTCAGCCGCATCACCAGGACGCGGGGCACGCAGAGCTGGTGGTGCTGGGCCAGCTCGGTACCTTGTTGCCGTTGGAGTACATGGCCAGCACGCAGAGCATGTGGAAGGAGTGCTGGCAGCTCGTCAGGCGCCCGACCATCTCCGGCTTGATCGTGCTGCACTCGCACGCGTCGCCGTAGCCGGAGGGGGAGGCCAGCTTCTCCATGCAGATGATGCAGTCCTGCAGCCCGGGACAGCAAGGGGACAGCCACCACGTAGTGTGAGCACGGGCTGGCAGTGACTGACCCACCAAGGAAGCAGCTAAGGATGCTTCAGAAGACGTGCCTTCCCCTTCAACCCTTCTCTTTAAGGTTTAAGGGCACAGACGGGTCCCTGCTCCACCCCACATCCCACAGCCAGCTCCGAGAGGAGCAGGGAGGCACGGTCAGGGCTACCTGTAACCCACACGGTGCTTCCTCTGTCACAGCCTCTGATGGGGACCAGCCACCAGTTCCCACATGCAGGCTTCAGGAACCCCCGAGGCCTCTCCACCAAGTGCTGGTGGTGCCACCACAAGCAGCAGCACCCAGCACTGGGGGCGGCCAGGGCAATCCTCAGGCACCACCTCAGTTTTCACAGCACACCCAAGGGAAGAGGTCTCCAGGCAAGCCAGACCTTTTGTTACCATCTTCTCCTCCTCCTCCCCTCTCACCTCATCAGCAGGAGTGCCCTTCAGCTCCTCCAGGTACTTCCTCACCACCACTTCTGGCTCTGTCGGCGTCGCTGCACAGAGGGGAGAGAGAAGGCAGCAGAAGTCAGACACCACGAGGCACGGGCAGGGCGAGCCACAAGAAGGGGGAAAAAGCAAGTAACTGGCCAGGACGCCAAGGAGAAAGGCGCGGGTTAGAGGGGAGAAAAAAGGCTGCAGCTGATCCACACGAGCCCCAAAAAGGCCTGCAAGCAGTGCAAGCACTCAGACAGGAGAGCCCAGCAGGATGAGCCCCTGCTCGCCCCCAGGATCCCTGCAGGAGGGCAGGGAATGCCCCACAGAGGGGATGTTTGTGCCCCGTGCTGCACGCCTGGGGGCAGCTGGAGCTGCTGTGGTGTCCCCAGTCGATGCCAGCCAGGTCCCAGCAGGGCTTCGTGCAGCTGTGATCAAGCTCAGACATCTCAGTGGGAAGGAGCACGATGCTGTGATGTTAATGGAGAGATTCCCAGCTCACCCAGCTGGCACAGGACCTTCCTACACCACAGGTGAGACACAGCCAAACCCTGCAGCTGGCACATCAGGAACAACCTGGCCGTACTCTAAGCATTGAACCTTATTTTGGGTCCAGCAGAACGAGCCTTGCACCCTTCACACAAGACAGGGGCGGTTCTCTTTCCTCCTGAGCTTTCACATCCTCAAATCCAGCAAGACACAGCACAGATCACAGGGGATACAGAACACATCAGCTCTATAACAGGTGCCCTGCTCGCAGTAAGGGACAGACATTCTCACATTTCCCTAAGTACAGCCCCGATCCTACCCCCAGAGCACAGCCCAGCTCCCGGAGCAGCATTCTTCTTCTCAGAGCATGCCGTGCAGATGCCCCATCCCTTATTACAGGATTAAAACACCACAAAATCCTGGGCTGGGTAGGGCCGAGAGCTCAGCCATCCCCTCAGCTCCCCACCGGGCTTCGCTGCAGCCCGAGCACCTCACACAGCACCCGGCTGCAGCTCCTTACCCGGCCCCAGGCCCATCACGGCAGCAGCCAGGCTCTTCCACCAGCCTGCAAAGGGCAGCATGTGCACGAGCGAGGCCACGGCTCCACCTGGCAGGAGGCAAGAAGACCCGTCACTCGCCATGGGGGCTCCTGGTGCCGCCTGCTCTGCTCCAGACCCGCTGGGGACAGCGGGGAGAAGCAGCAGGGTGGTGGTGGTGCCACCTGGGCAGCTTGGGGAGCAAGGTGGATGCTGACAGAGGCTGGGAAGCCCCGAGCAGCAGTGCCCAGTTCCCTGGGGTCACAAGGAAGCTGTGCTCCAGCATTTCCCCAGGGATCTCTGCTCTCAAACACAACTCCCAGTGCCTGTGCTTTAGCACGGAGATGGACTCACAGCTGCCACGCTCACAGGCAGGCAGCATCAGTGCATCTGGCACAGTATTTGTTTGGCACAGCATTTATCTGGCACAGCATTCCCACATGCAACAGCTGGGCAGCAGTCCTGTGCACGTGCCTGCACACCCACAGCTCACCCCAGCAGCTTGTTTTTCCCCCCAAGGAACACAGAGGGATCACAAACGCTGCCTCTGCAGGTGAAGGAGCTGTGCATGACCAGACACCATCTTCCTGAGCTGTCCTGCCTCCCAAAAAATTAAAGCAACCTCTGCCAGCAGCAGGAAAGGGTGGGTGATGTTTCCCAGATACCCACCCCTCATGGTGCCAAGGTGGTGAAGCAGAAGGAGAGGACAGAGGAGCTTCTTGCAGGCACACCTGGATGGCCCAGACCTGCACCAGGGAGGATCAGAGGAGCCCTGCACAGCTCAGCTGCAGGGATGGGTGAGATACGAGCAGGGAAGGCACCTTCTCACTGCAGACCAGCAGAGGAGAGAGGCAGAAAGCTAGCGTGGGCAGAAAGTCACTTAGCCAAGGAAGCCTGATAAATAGGGCCTTGGACTCTCCTCAATGAGCACGGCGTCATTAAGACGTGCTGTTTGCAGAAGGGGATTCCTGGCCGTCCTGAAACGCTCGGTTTCCGGCAGTGTGAGCAGGACAGAGGCACAGCCAAGCACGCAGCACAAGAAAACAAACCCACAACGTCAAAGGATGCTCCCCGAGAGCTGGCGCCAGGCAGGAGCTGCGTGATGTCTCCAGGACGGTGAGCTCACAGCCCCGAGACCCTCAGCCAGGAGGCTGGGAACAGGATACAGCCACCAGTAAGGCAATCACGGGAACTTGGAAACAAGGGCTTTTCCACCTCAGAGACGTGCCAAGATCCCCGAAAAAGGATTTCCAGGAACTGCCACAAGAGCAGGAGACAAACAGGAGCCCGGACAAGCCCTTGTTTTCCAGCACTCAGGCCAGGAGAGCAGCAGTGCCAGGAACTGCTCCAAGGCCTCCTCACGAGCACCTCCTGGAGAGCCCTGTTTGCTCACCTCACCACTTCTGAAGGTGACAAATGAGTCCCCAAATCCTCCCTGCTGGGGCCTTGCTCAGGTGCAGTGGATGAAGAGGAGGCAGCAGGAACAAGCTGCATGGGGATGTGATCAGTCTGAGCTCAGGCTGTGCCTGCAGCCTCCCAGCCGAGCTCTCCACAATGTCCCTGCCCCAGGTAACAAACATCACGGGTGGAGGTCGGAGCCAGGCTCTGGTTTGTAAGTACAAGAAGCCTTCACCATCACAGGGCAGGCAGAGGCTTCAGCTTCTGTGCTGCTGGTTGTGGAGGAGGCCGTGAGAACAGGGCTTGCTGCTACCCACAGCTCCTTCCACTTCCCCAAACACCTCTCACAGCCACCGTGTCCTCATTCCCGAGGACTTCCTGCTGCCCACCAGACCCTCCTCCAGCCCGCCTGCTCTCCCTGTTGAATTCCCTTCCTCCAGAGCAGCTCAGAGAAACAAACAGGCCACGTTCATCCAAACCAAAGCACGCGGCATCAACCCCTCACCAACAGGGATGGGCACAGAACTGGGGCAGCCCTACAGTCCTCAGCCATCAGGCCTGTGCCTGATGGGTTTGTGGTGTCACATCCCTGATGAGGGGGCAGAAAGCACCCCGATCCCATCCCTTGGTTGGGATAACTCTGGTGCACTTTGATCCACCACAAATATTAGCAAGGCAGACCTGGGGACACCAGGAGCTCCAGGAAAACCCATCCCCAACTGCAGCCACTCGAGTGCTGGCCCTACAGAAGCAGCTCGATGCTGATACCAGGTTTCCAGCAGTTTTACAGCCCATGCAGCTGTACCCCAAGGAGCAGCGTGCCCAGCCAGCCACCCCCCAGCTGCACAGGGAGCCAGGATGCAGCCACGGCACGAGCAGCACGCTTTGAGCCAGCATCACTTCCCCTGCAGGCACCGTGTGCTGCAGGAACGCCTGCATCCAGCTTTGTTCTCACCATCCCCCGGGACCAAAGCCTGTCCAGGCTCCAGCCCTGACCACATCTGCCCTCTGTCCCCTGGACCGGCAAGGGCTCCACCTACTGGACTCAACTTCAAAGGCAAGGGGAGATTTGGTGTTAAAAAAGGAAGATTTCTCCCCTTTCAGCAGTTCAGAAGAGCCAAACGAGCAGCTGTGTTATCGCAGCCTGCCTCCCCCAGGAGGCCCAGCACTGGATGTGCCATCGGTGGCTGCAGGACAAGGACACGCAGGGAGCCACGTGCCAGCACTGACAGCGTGGGGACAGGGGGGACCCTACACTCACAGCACAGCACTCACCCACACCAGACATCGCTGCCAGAGCGGCAACACCATTAACGAGCCCTAATTAGTGCCTTTGTTGAGCGTAACCCATGTGTTCAGGAAGCTGGCTGCCATTCTGTCAACACCACCCCAGCCCACACGCGGGCAGACCGGTGCGCAGGCACAGGTTCACTGCTGGAAAGTTTGGGGTGAACGTGCCTGCAGCTGGTGTGCAGCTCTCGCCTGAGCTCCTAGAGATGTGGGAGTCTGGAAGAGAGGTGATGCAGAAATTCAGGCTGCACAATGGGCCCCATCTCTGCCTGTTACAGCTCCAGGGTGCGTAAAAAGGTCAGAACAGGCTGACCACAAGTCGGGCTCACCACCAGCACTGCAGCTCCTTAGCCAGGGCACAGATGGAGCTTAATCCCACATGGCACCGAGACCTTCCTCATGCAGGCATCTCGCACTCAGCACCCTGCAGGAGCAGCATCCCGGCCCCAAAGAGCAGCCCTGCTTCCTAAAAGACAATTTAAGAACTAAACCAGGAAAGCTCCCTCTCCTCACAGTGCTGGAAGTGGCAGAGCTGGCAATGCCCCTCCTCTGCAGGGCATCCTGAGCAGGATGGGGGCCAAATCCTGCTGGCTGGCAGGAGCCACACAGTGCTCCCAGCACCCACACCGCCCCTCCTGCCCATGTTCTCTGCTCCCTGGGTTTCTGCTCCCCGTCCCTGAGGTTTCCCGGCCCCAGCAGGTGGCATTGCTGAGCCGCAGCAGGGCGCAGGCACCCAGCACGGCTCCTGCTTGGTGAGCCCCACAGCCAGGGCTGGTGCTGGGCTGCACAAACACAGAGCTCAGCAGCCTCTGAGCGAGCCTGACCTCTGGCCAAGCTGCAGGCACTGTGCAAGAGCCCCTGGTGCTGTGCCAAGCACCAAGGAGCCCGCATCTCATGCAGGAAGATGTGCTGCTGGGCTGGCACATCTGTGACACCCCCTCTGCTGGCAGGGGGCCTTGGGACACCAGGACTGTGTGTTTGTGGCCTCACCTCGCCATAAATGCTGCCAGCTTTGTGGCACTGACCTCCAGCAGCTCCCTTCCCATGTGGCTGTCCACCTGCACAGCCCTCACCCTGTCACACCGACACCAGAGGGTATTTTTGGTACCCCAGCAGCCAGCCCCCAAGGTACAGCCCCCGTGCAGCCCCTCTGCCACCACCTCCACTCAGTTCTTCTCCTCCACCTCCTTTCTCCTCGCTCCTCCTCCTGCTGCTGCTGCTTCTCCCACCACCCTTTCTCCTCCCTCCTCACACATCCTACTCCACACTTGCTCTCCCTCCTTCCTGCTGCTTCCATCTCCTCCCCCCAGCTCTGTCCCCGATGCATTTCCACAAGACTCCTCCCTGCACATTGAATTCCTGGTTCTTTAATTCCTGCCTCTCCTCTCCCCCTTCCTACCTCCTCTGGAGGACTTTGCACCTTGCAAAGCCTCCTCCCTGCACTGACTCCAAGGAGCAAGACCAAGGAACCGAGACATCCAGGTGCCTCCTCTCCTCCACAAGGCTCCTCCTGCCCAGGAGCAGGGACAAAGGTCCTGCCCTGCAGGTGGCTGTGCCCGGCAGGGAGCTGGGGTGGCCTGATCCCTCCTGCCCGAGGCAGGTGGGGATGACAAACTCACCCCAGGGTGGCCCCGAGTGCCCTGTGTGACTCAGGGGCTGCTCGCCTGGGAGATCCTCCTCTGCTCACCTCGTGACTCAGCGGTGACGAGCCAGACCTTCTGCCTCACAACAGCCCTTCTGGAGACAGCACACGAATAAATGCTGCCCTTGAGGGTTGCTCGGCTCCCAGGCTCATCCCAGCAGTGAGTCAGGGAAAGTCCTGGTACGTGGAGAGCTGAGAGGGACCCCGGGGAGATCAGAGAGATCTGACATGCACAGGGAACAGCCAGGCTGCTCCAGCGACTGCTGGAAACAAGCAGAGCTTCCACAGGACAGGGTCTACTTTGTCATCTTATTTTACAGCCTGGCAGAGACCATGCAGGCCAGAGAAACGCCCTGCCTCTTCCCTCCGTGGGACGAACACCCCCAGTCAGTCGGAAGAGCCGAGAGGGTCGGGGGGAGAGCCAAGAGGAAAGGAGGGAGGCAGAACAAGTGCAGAGAGATAAAGAGAAGGAGATGGAAGCAAATATCAGAGTTTGAGCAGGAACTACCTTTCTTGGACACTTTCCTCCCCTCCTTAACTGAGCTGTGTTTTTTAGTGGCTTTATGGGAGCTGGCAGCTTGCGGCACACAGGTGAGGTGCACGGGGAGTCCAGCGGCTGACATCAGAATAGCCGTCATGCCTACAGCGGGTACGAGATCAACATGCAGGAAGGAAACAACGGGGAGACACATTAAAAAAAACTTCAATCTTTCAAATTAAAAAAAAAAAAGATAAAAACAAAACAAAACCCAAGCCCTTGATTCAGAGATGATCAAACACCCGAGAGGTGAGGGGGGTTGGAGTCACCGCAGGGACAGGATCCAAAGGAGTTCAGCAAAAGGAGCTCGGGCAGGAAATTGAAACAGGGAAACGCAGACACCCTCTGAGCTGGGGTTTGGACAGGACCTTCCTCTCTGCCTTGGCTTTAGGGTTCCTCAGGTGTTTCATGTCTGTCGTGGTGCAGAGTCCTCCAGCTCACCAAGCCCCGCGGGCAGCGCTGCCCCAGGGATCTGCAGTTACCTGTAATCCCTACAGCTCCTGCTCGGCTGCTCCCCCAAAAAGCAGAGTGTTTCAAAGGCATCACCCCAAAATAATCCTCAGAGAGCAGCTTTAGGGCCTGCAAAGCCTGCAGCTGGGCCAGGCAGACTGGAGCTGCCCACCTTGGACCCTGAAGGAGCCCCATGCAACTGGGCTCCGTTTTCTGCTGCACCCCAGCCACAGTTTGAGCCCGAGGCTTCTCTTCCTCCCAGCCAGCACCGAGCAGCGCTGCGTTCACTGGATGAGGTTTGTTAAAGCTAATGAATAATTAAGAAGGACAGACATTCCTCGCAGGTAGAACAAGCATGCAGAGAGCCACCAGGCTGGTGATGCTGATCTGGCATGATGTTAGCCTGAGAAATACACCCTATAACTGGCCTGTAATGCTTGTGCGGTGGCATGCTGCTCCTAAACACACGTTCCAGGGAGCACCCGCTTCGGCTCCTCTAGGAAGAGACCTCCTCCTGCACCAGCTAAAAAATAATCCAGAGATGCAGACTGACAGGAGCTGAAAGCCCAGCTTACCTCAGAGCAGCCAGTGCAAAACCACCTCCTAACGCTAAGGACGTTCTTGCCAGCATCCCCAGATGCCCACGCAGTAGCTCGTGGCCAAAACCAAGTTACCAAGGCGTTTCAAGCCCATGTTCTACTGGGTTGGGAAAGAAAGGAAGCTAGAAAAGCAAATGCATTTATTCAGGACAAAACGAGGAGCCTTGCCCACACATGGCTAAAAACGGAGTTAGGAGAGGAAGCAGCCAGCTCTGTGGGAGCGTTAACTGGTTGCGTATTTCAGGCAGAAAAGGGTGTTAGGAGCCCACCCCCTGTAACCAGAAACCCCCCCATGCAGACCTGGTGCGAGTGCCCCAAGCAGAGCCACCCCCTGCAGCGGCTTCACATGAGCCCCAAGCACAAACCCCACAAAGTGCCCAAGTCCCTTCTCAATAGGGGAGTCGGGTGCTTCTAGCACAGCTCTCATACAAGGCCCAAAGACTTCCAGAGAGACAGAAAGGATTTCGCAAGACGGGGTAAGGAGCAGAGATGAAGCAGTTTGCCCAGGGTTGCCCAAGGCCCGTTGGCAGAGCTGGTCTGGCCAGCAGATCGTGTTGCTCTGTGACACATCGCCCAAGCACGCGCCTCCTGCTCGGAGGGAAGCTGCAGACAGCAAAAAGCCAAACCTTCACAGCACCGACGGCTCCTGGTCCGACTGACACCATGGCAATGGGCACCAGACACACATAGTGGTGCCAGAAATTATGGGGGAAGGAAAGCAGGGCAGGAAAACAACCAGCAGGAGAGTTAACCATGCACAAGCAGCAGGGAAAGCAGTTCTTTGAGCAATCCCAGACCCACCTGACAGTTATAGGGTCTGTGATTCAGCACCAAGGAGAAAACACCTCCCTCCATGAGCTCCTGGCAAGGCTGGCACCAGAAGATCAGGAGCACGAGCTCACAGCACATCCACGGACTGCCCCAGGGAAGCAGGGAACTGAGCGAGCAGCCAGCACCCCAGCAGCACACTGCTCTCAGCAGGTCCAGCTGAGGAAAACCCCAAAAGGCAGTACGAGACAGCACAAGCATTGGGGGACCAGCACGAACACCAGGTCCAGAGGTCTCACAATGAAAACCACCTCCTGCAAGTCTCAGACCCCAGCCCAGGCTGCTGCCTGCTCTCAGCCCCACTAAGCCAGCTGGGCTTTGACACTTCCAGGAAGCCTGGGGCTCACTGTTCCCATAAAAATAGGAGCAAAGCTGAGCCCAGAGACTGCACCAAGCCAAACCTGAAGGCCAGGCAGGGACTTTGGTCTGTGGGAGCCTCACCCCAGCATGGCCATAAAGCACCATGCCCAGCCTGGGGCAGGAGCAGGGGGTGAGGTGAGGCTGCAGGGCAAACCCAGGGACTCGGGGGGGTTATGGCCACCCCCACACAGCTGCTGGATAGGAAAATGCAAAACTGGAGCTCTCTGCTGAGGAGATCAATGCCAGCTTGCTGGTCTAACACACAGTCCATAAAAACAGACACAGGAGAGGCTGGAGGACTGACCTCAGACCGCACAGGGGATGAGACGCCTCCTTCAAACATAAGGAAGGGTGAAGGAGACGAGGCACGGAGCCCCCGAGCCCAGCTACCTGCCCATCCCCTGAGCGACTCGTCTCGAGTTGCCTGTCAGCACCATGAGTCACTGCAAAGGAAATAAACGTTTATTTCGGGAGCCCTCCCTCGCTCCAGGAGTTGAGGGCATCCACAACGCCACGCACGCATACAGGCAGGTCAGGTGTGGGGCCAGGAGCGCTACCCCCAGCCAAGTATCCCTCTGAAACCAGCACAAAACTGGTTATTTTCTGCTTTTACCTCCTGCTGCTTTCGGGGACACGCAATGAATCATCTCCTTCTGCAGCTCCACAGCAAGAGAGCATTCAGCACGGGGCTGTTCCCGTGCTACAGCGCTCCCCTGGCTCATCTCACAGCCCAGCAGCGATTCCTTCGGTGCTAATACAGGATGGGAAACCTCAGCATGCAGCAAGCCTCCTACAAGGCTTGACAGGAGTCACCAGCCAGGGATCTCCCCGCATCCAAGCCTTCCAGGGGACAGCACCTCCACGCAGTGCCAGCCACCACCCCTGCGGGCTGGTTCTCCACCTCTGACACCTGGGGCCGGCTTTAATCCAGTCACAGACATCAGTGGAGCTGTGTCAGGAGCGAGTTCAGCCCTGGATGAAGCCCACCTGAAGACACAAGGGCTGTGCTGCAGCAAAATAGGCTTGCCCAGAGCAAGCCTTTGTGTTCCTGCAAGAGCTCCTGCTGCTCGCTGGCCACCCCCCGAGCTCAGGAAATACAACCACTGCCTCTTCTCTTCCTCAAAGCGTTTATTTGGCTGCAAGTGCAGTGTCAGCAGGGCTCCTTGGGGCAGAATTATTTCTGCTGCAGCTATGACAACATCCGCCGGCTTTTCTTAGCCTCCCGTGAAGTCAGGCACTTCTGTAACATCCTGTACCGCAGCCGAGCACGGGGAAAGCACCCTGACCTAATGCTGCGAGCCCCCACCAGGCTCCTACTCACACCCAGCCCCACGTGCCCCTCCGGTCACCCTTCTGGCTGCTGACTTACAGACCTCAGACTCACGTGTGCTTTGTTCCAGCTCGAGGTTTAGGCAGGTGGCAGGAAGGGCAGAGCTTGCCTTCAGATAGCCTGACGTCTCGGGGAGGGAAGCACTGAGAGTTTGCACAGTTAGACCCAGCAAAGTTTTCATGGTGAGTATATCCCCAAACACCTCTAGAACCCATGTTAATAAGGAGCACTCAGCTTAAGTTAACACAAAGCTCACTGCCACAGGTCTCCTCTGGCAAATTGTGTATTAGCACAATTTGGGGGCTGGGGGAGACAAGTTTCCACACGCACCTCAAATCAAAAAGGTAACAAAGCCAGGACAAAACCCAATTCTATATGAAAGTTTAAACCAGCTTCATGATTTCTGCACTTTGGAGTTGTGCTGCTAGAAAATGTGGGGCTGCAGAGTCATGAATTCCTCACCCAGCCCCCCCGGCACCCATCACACAGAGCCTGTCACCAGAGCCTGCCCCCCCTCACCACTGGTGCTGAGCACAGCTGTGCAGTGGGACTGGGGGAGAAGGGGCCCAGCCCATCACAGAATAACCCCAAAATAAGCATTTCCATGACCATCCCCCAGATCTGAAATATGGATCTGAAATATGAACCAACCAGCACTTGCCAGAAGAGGTCCTAGAAGCAGAGAGCAGAGCACAGAGGGGGAGGAGATGTGCCTGAAGACCCAGCCAGCTAAAACCCCAGTAAAATTTGGCCTTGTTACCACAACCTCACTGCTTGCTTTTTACCATAATCACTCCCAGACATTTATTTTCCTTTCACTCGCTAATTAACTCATCCAGACCTTCCCTCTGCTTCTACTTCATTTTGAAGCCAGACAAATGCAGGTTTCTCTCCTCCCTTGCAGCTCCAACATCTGCTACACCCGGCAGGGAGCAACCCAGGGCTGATCGGAGCCGTGTCCCACAGGCTCAGACCCCAAGGAGATGCTGTCCCTGGGGGCAGGTGATGCTCTGAGCCCTCAGCAACTCAGCACACCTCCCAGGGAGCTGCAGGTCCAAGGAAGAACAGTTTTTATCCTTTGTATCCCCAGCCTCCAACAAGAGCAGAGCCGATTACAGCTTCAAATTTTCATTCTGGAATAAATGGTGCCAGGTGGGTGATTTTATGGGGCTCTTCTGCAGCCTTGTAGGTTTAAACATGGCACTACAGAAGGGCTGTGCATGTTCACCTCTCCCAAGTGCCCAGGAAGACTCGCACATCCAGAAGGAGGTCACAATTAACAGGATTAGCACAGCCTGGATTCAGCAGAGCTCCCCGGTTCTTCGCTGTATTTACCTTGCTGTGATTAAGAACTAATTACCCAGCCCACGCTAATAGCCAGGGGATGAAACGGAGCTTTCACGAGCAAGGTGAGCCCTGCCCAGGTCATCCACCTAGCCAAGGTCTGAGCTCGGCTCCGCAACTCATTGCCACAAAGGCAGATCTGCCAGCAGGGAGAGGGACCACATGCTGCCTGCTTTTTGGGGACCTGCAAGGCACAAATCTTCTGTGGTTTTAGCACTGGATAACCAGAAACTGCAGCCCCAGGGGGTTGATTTGAGGCATGGCAGAGCCTGGCACCTAGCAGGGCACCGGCCACCACCACCTTGGCTAGAAAAATGCAGTGGCCACTTGTCAGAGTGAGCCCAACTGCTCAGGAGCTGAGCTCAGCACCCAGGGAGCTACTGACCTGAACAGACCACGCGTGGACAGAGCAGAGAGAGGGTTAGGAGGCACTCAGGGGGTTAGTAGATGCTCTGTTGTGTCTGAAAGGGGCACAGCAGCCCCCAGAAAATACCACGTGCCAGGTCTCTTCCACTCACCTACCCCAGGTTGCTGACCACCTAAGCCTCTGTACTAAAATCACCCCCAAACAATCCCCCGCAGCATCCTGCACTGCAGTTTTCCTCCTCAGAGTTAAAAAAAAGAAAAAAAAGCAGGAAACACAAACAGCAGCCAGCACACAGCCTGGCCCACATGCTCCCCTGTGGTATGAAAACAAGTACCTAGCCTCCAAATAGACCCCCAAAAAACAGCTCCTGATGGGCTACCTATAAAGCACAGGGGCAGAGAAGTGCTTCAGAGACTCACCCCCAAGCTCCAAGTGCCCCTCTCCTGCTCTAGGAGGGTGCTGAGCTACAGCCTCAGGTGCTGAGCAGCATCAAAACCTCACCCCAGCTGGGATGGGAGCACAAAGCGCCAGGATTAGCACCAGTAAGAAAAGCAATTACTGAGGTCTGACCCTCCTATCCCCTCTCCACTTTGCCTTTTCTACCTTTTAGCTTAAAACTTTTCCGCTGCCAAAAGCATTTCAGAGATGCTGCAAACTAAAAAAAAAAAAAAAAAAAAAAGAAATGGAAGCACTATGGAAAAGTAGAAGACTTGCTTGTGTAACCCTAAAGAGAAAGCAGAACAGAAGCATTACCTGCCAAAGCCTGGTTCACTTTGCTGGGTTTGGACATCTTGACCGGCAGGCTCAGGGCACTGGGGAGAGAGCAGAGACACAGAAACATCAACCAGCACAACCCAGACACACCAAGGCCAATTCAGCATCCCCCCAGGTCCTGGGTATATCAACGGGCTCTAATTGCCCAGATGGGACTCACCTGGGACCCCCACCCACACGTCCTTCACCCAGTGGTCCAGCTGCTGTATTTAGGGAGCCCACCCCGGCCAGAGCTCTCTAGGTTTGGTCTTCTCCAGTTTTGTCCTAAGCACACCCAAGCTGTGCTATGAGCAGGCACACAGCCAGGAGCTGCCAGAAGGTAGTAGGGAACCTCAAAGCTTCCCGGTGACTCGTTCTCACAGCCAGAAGAAAAAACACCCCCCAAAGCTCAGCCCCTGATGCTGTGTGAGGTGTCACGGCTGTGCGGGCTGGGGGCAGCGAGCTGCACCACCCCACAGCGTTGTAGGACAACAGGTTGCCAAGCCCCAAACACCAAACGCCACCCGCTGTCTCAGAACCCTCTCCACAAGCTGCCCCCGTGCCCAAACCAGCCCCAAGGATGGGGTAGGTCCCTCTCCTTGGCCTTCCGAAATTTGGCAGCGCCACATCCTCTCCTCCCCTACCTGCCGCTGCTCGGAGCAGGTCCCTGCGCAGGCACCGAGCTCCTGAAGGCAGCACCCAGGGCTTGGCGCTGCTCCGACAGCCCGGCCGCACGGGACTGGGGCCTCCAGACCTTTAAGAGGTCCCGTGGGCTGCGGAGATTTCCCTTCCCTCTCTCACAGGCTGTGGTTTCCCCTCGTTTGCCCCTAATTTTGCAACGTTTTCAAGTGACGCAATGGGCTGTTCTCACCGCAGCTTGGCTCCAGCCCCGCTGGCAAATCCTCCCCTCGATTTCGGGGGGCTGGAAGCAGGCACCGTGACCCCTCTTTGCCACCTTTTTATTTCCTGATTCAGGTTGTTCATTGCTTTTTCTCATGGATTTTTTTCTCCCCTCCGTTTTCCAGCAGAAACACCCCAGGGTTTGGGCACCCCCAGCCCAGACACCGAAGAGTCTGTGCTTTGCTGTCACCCCCCAGCCTTCATTTCCCCTTCCCCATGGAAATAAAAACACGGCAGAGCACGGGCAGGGCTGAACCCTCCGTGGGATCCCTCCAGGGGCGCACAGAAGGGCTGGCACGCGGGGCGCAGCGATGTACGACATGGGACCCAGATCCTTTTTATTTCACAGGATCACAGAATTTCTAGGTTGGAAGAGACCTCAAGGTCATCGAGCCGAGTACAGGGGGACGATCACCTCCCTCGCCCTGCTGACCACACTGCTTCTGATACAAGCCAGGATGCCGTTGGCCTTCTTGGCCACTTGAGCACACTGCTGGCTCATATTCAGCCGACTGTCCACCAATCCTCCTGCACCTGCAGAAATCCCTGGTGAGATCGAGGGAAACCCACGCTGCCCAGGAGGGTTCCAAGCCATGGCACATGGGAGGAAGCAGCATTGCCACGCCACAAGAGGCAGAAATGCTCCTCCAGGCCTGAAAAAGGTTTTTTTTGGAGGAGGAAGGGGAAAGGTAACAAAGGGTATTGCCACGTGGTCTCACACGTGCTGTGCCTTGCGCCTGAGCAGCCTCGCCTGCAGCACGAGCTGCCTGCAAGTAGCCCATCAGCTCAGACCCGAGGTGCTCCGGCACCCCGCAGCTTTTTGGGAGAGGTGCCTCCAATTTGTGATTTGAAATCCCTAACCGGTGGTAGGGATTTCACAGGCTGCTGCAGCACCGCTGAGGCAGCGAGGCGCAGGACTGGAGAGGTGGCACTTGGTGGCCAGATCCGAGCTGAACAGCCCCATGTGGGATTTCCTCACGGGGCAGGGATGGAGAAGTCCCTATCAGCTCTCCCCCTTCCCAACAGAGCCCGTTCTTCCTTCTCCCCCCCAAAAGCTGCATTTTCCTGTCTTTGTACCCCCTGAACAAGCAGCCAACGCGTCCCTAAGGTCCCGCCCTGCCTCAGAATCACACGCGTGTGCCCAGGGACCTAACCCCTTCCACGGAAAACCCCCTGGGATGCTAACAGTGGCCACACCACAGCTTCTCCCTTCCCTTTGTTTTGAAGAAGACATCAGGACCTAAACCAAGCCTCTCCTCCCCCCCTAAGGACACCTTTTCTTGCGCTGCACGCGGCTGCGTCGATCCATGGGGCTCACTCCTGGCACCAGGACGAGGAGTGACAAAGAGGTGGGGACAAGTCACAATGGGCCTGCCCAGGGCCGGGGGGGGGCACAGAACCCCCGGTCTGCTGTTCTGCTGCTGGGCAAGAGGAGCTGAAGGGTACGGAGGAGGAGGAGGAAGAGGAAATACCCTGCCTGGGGTCTGCTCCCTGGGGCGCATCTCCTGACCCGACAGCGTGCTGAGCACGTGGGAGATGTGGGGTGGTGGCTCTGGGCCCCGCTGAAGAGCACCCTAATACTGCACAGCTCCCCTCCCAATGCTTCAATGCACTAAAATTTCCCCAGCCCGAGCCCCCCGCCTTATCCGTGGGCAGGAGCTGGATGGGCACCCACGGCCATGCGAGCCCAGGGAGCTATAGCAGGGATTCTCCTGCCTGGGGCACTGATTTATTCCCCCAAAACTGCTTCCTACGGCTTTCCTGCCCTTGTACCCAGCAGGACACCCCTCGGCAGTGCCCTTCTGTGCCAGGAGCCCCCCGGGGGGAGCTGGGCAGCACCCTGAGGCACGGCCCCCACCGCTACACGCTCTGTCTGCAGCTCTGAGTGCAGCCTGCGGAGGAGGCCGGGCTCGTTATCTGCCCGCAACACACGGGAGGAAACCCAGGCACCAAGAGGCAAAACAACCTGCCCACGGTTACTGCACGTTCCTGGCTCTGCTGCTAACCTACGAGCGTCTGTTCAGGCCTCGGCTCGCTCCAGGCCACGCTCCCCTCTGGGTTTTGCCCCTCTTGAGAGCTGGGGGAATGGAAGCCGCAGCTTGTGGTGCCCCAGCTCCACCCTCCCTCACCCCTGCAGCAAGGGGAAAATGCTTCCTGGTGCTGCCCACCCTGGGGGCTGTGCCCCCCTGCACTTTAGGAATAACCTCGTGGCCACCCAGGGAGGCAGGCGGCTTCCCAGGAGGAGCTCCTCCTCTTTCTCAGCCCTGTAGGAGAGAGGTTTTCTTCTGTGCTGCCTCTTTCAGCCACATTTCCTCCCGACCTGGGTGTGTTTACCCAGGTGTGTGTAGCCGGGTGTGTGTAACCGCCTGGCTTTCAGTTTCCAGCAGCGTTTGAGCCGCCAGGAACAGCTCGGGGACTGCCAGGGGTGCTGCGGGGCACACGCAGCACAACCTTTATTAGACAGCGGAGAATCCCCAGCCAACCCCACTGCTCCCTTCCCCGCAGCCCAGGCCTCGCTCTGGCACTCCTCGTTTTGGTGTGAGCTGTGGCAAGGGCCAAGGAGCTTCTCAGTGCCACCAGGCTGCTGTGCAGGCGCCCTTCCAGCCCGCAATTCAGCCGTCTCCTCTCAAATCCCTGGGGCTGGATAGGGGCTTGCTGACATTTCGCTGCCATTTCCAGGCAGCTGGAGGTGCTGGCAGCCAAAAAGACATTTCCAGGGCCAGCCCACGCAGCCCCGAGGCCACAGGACAAAGTTTTGTCCCCACACAGGGCTCACACTGCCGGGATGTGGCCACGCTTCCAGCTCCGTGCCCGAGCACCGACCACGGGACCTGCACTTCCCAGCCAGGATAAACCCCAGCAAAGCCGCACGCTGGGCACACAAACCCTTCCTGGGGTAATTAGTGCAGGGTAATTAGCACCTCGCCTCCACAGCCACAAAGCTCCCCACGCAGCGAGGAGCAGTGGAGGAGGAAGCAAGCAGCCCGAGGGGGCAAGGCAGGAACCCCAGTGGACGCAGTAACTGCGGAATGTGCCGGGCTTTGGAATTAAATGAAGCACATTGTTAGGGCGCGCTGCTCAGGTTTCCCCTAATTCGCAGAAATGAGGGTATTTGCTGCTGGAACATGGCTCCACGAGCCTGGGAACGTAACGCCAGCCAAGAGCACAGCAGCCCCGCAGTATTTCCAGCTCCCAGCATGGAAAGCAAGGGGGAGAGCCAGCTCCAGCTGGCGCCGAGTCCCCTTCATGTACTGGAAGACAGAGATCATCCCCCTGGGTGCGTTTGTCTGGCAGGGGAAGGGACAGAGCCCGTGGGAAGGTATCGCTGCAGGGCTCCAGATCCCCGCTCAGCACCCAGCACCTTATCAGCTCCAGCAGAAGCCCTGCAGGGCAGCCCCAGCAGCGTTTTGCTTCTTTTGGCCGGCTCTCCCCACCCCGAGAGGCACCCAGTGAGCCACACGGGTGTTTGTGGGGGACAGACGGTGGCACAGAGAGGCACGGGATGGCCGGGAGCTCTGCAGGTTGTCTGGTCCAAGGCCCTGGCCAAGCACGGCCACCTGGAGCTGCCTGCACAGGGCCTGTCCTGGCTTCTGGAGATCCCCAAGGAGACTCATCAAGGGAGCAAGGCTTCAAGTCTCACTTCGGATACAAACGAGGTTCAAAATGAACTTGTGCCGCCTGCAATTAGCACAACGAGCTTCCACCGCCCTTCTGATCTCCTATCTGTGCATCTCCCCAGGCTGGCTGGGACAGGTAAATCAACCCCGACAAGTTTGCCTCTGCTTTCTCAGACGCTCAGTGCTGCAGTGCCTGGCTTATCCCTAGCAAATTGTGTGTGCTGCTCTCCACCCCGACAGGGTTTACAGGCAGAGCCCTCTCTGCGGCCTCAGTTTGATGTGACTGTAGCCAGGAGATGCTCAGGGCACGCCTCATCACCAGCTCTCAGGAATAAGTCAGACCCCAAAAGCTAGAAAAAGCTTTGTGTGCAGAAGGAGTTCAGGATGAAAGGTTATTTGTGAATATCGTGTTTGGTTTGGGGCTCAGAGGCCAACCCTACAAGGCGGAGGGAAGGGCCACTCTGCGAGGGAGATGCTGACAGCCCCGGCTGGAGCTGCTGCCCCCAGGTAACCCACACCGAGGAGAGGAGTGGGGTCACAGGGTGAGCCCAGGAGATGCTGCTTTTCTTTTAGCTCGCAGCACCCAAAGGCCCAAGGAGAACCCAAGCGCTGCCTCCCACAGCAGCACGGCGCAGACACAGCCCTCCTTCGGCTCACCAGCAGGAGCTAAAATCCTGTGCTGCGAGATGCGCACGTGCTGCAGGGCCTCTAGTGGGGCAGTGAAGCCCCACAGCACCCCTGTCCCCTTTGTTCTCATCAGAAATGTCTAACGTGGACTGCCTAATTGTGTCAGAACGTGGAAGGCCCGGGCCACACGCAGCGAGTCCTAAAGGGCCTCCTTTGGTGGGGAAGAGCTTTGAACGGGGCCGTTTTCCTCCCCACATTTGTCGTGCATTTTGAATTAAATAGAAGTGTTTGCAAATCCCCTTTTCCTTCAGTCTCCCCTCAAAATTGCTGTCAGACGAACGGCAGCCCTACCAACCACCTCGGTCTCCTCCAGCCTGCAGTATCTCCACCTGCCTACTTCCCCCAGCAGCTCGGGGGACTTCCATGGCTGAGAGGGAACAATTTCGAGCAGGAGGAGAGAGAAAGCAGAGGGGAAGCTTCCTCATCCACTGGACACAAGCGCACGAAGATCTCCCTCTTAGGGAGAACACCCTTGTGAGATCCCCTGGGGCAGAAAGGCTCCTAAACGAGGAGCTGAGCACAGCGGGGCTCTCGGACACGCACACAGCTGAGTGGGGGCTGTACCTGACTCCGTTGGGTGCAGCCAGTCCCGTGCTGGGGCCCCCAGCTTGAGGCAGAGCCCAGGTGCTCTGCGCACTGAGTCTCGGCGTCGACCTCGCCGCGGACAGCGCGGGTTTGTTGTAGGGCACGAAGCTGGAAGAACCCGCGGACGTCGTCCTGCCGGAGAGCTGCTGCGTGGCGGCGGCGGAGGAAGAGGAGGAGGAGGAAGAGGAGGAGTTGGGGAAGTTTGTCGCCGAGTGGCGGTACCGCGTGGTGATGGGGCCAGTCCCCCCGTTGAGCCAGCACTGCTGGCACGAGCAGCCCACCCCCGCGTGGCCGGGGGCCGAGGCATTCGTGGCAGGGTACGGGGAGTCCAGGCGGCGCTGCACGCCGCGGCGGAACCTGGTGGTCTTGTTGATCTGCACCTGGGCCACCAGGTCGACGTCGTAGTTGTAGCCAAAGGGCGCCAGGTCCACCCGCTGGTGGTTGGTGGCACGGGCCTGCTCCAGCACCTCACAGACGCTCATCTCGTAGGGGGACCAGCCGCCTTCGTCGTTCTGCCACTCCCAGACGATGCCCTGCCCGGCCGCAGAGCTGCCGGGGAAGAGGTGCCTGCGGACAGCACGCATCGTCCCTGGGGAGAGGGGAAAAATCAGAGTGAGCAGAGAACTCGGGGGGAATTATTGAATTATTTCCCTGCCTTGTTCCTACATGGGCTAAGGGGAGGCACGAATGGGCTTCCTCACCCCAGTATGGGATGAGCACAGGGAAAGCAGTGCCCCAAGCCCTCTGTCCCCTCTATCCCTCGGCCAGGTCTGAGCGCGGGCTGGCAGCGGGTTCAGATGCTGCGGGGAGGGCATGAAGGAAGAGGAGAGGATCTACACCCCGACACACCCAAGCACAACGGCGCAGCAATCACAGATGCTTCGCTGGTGTTAAAAAAAAAATAAAATCAGGCTGAGGCACAGATCTGGTAAAAGAAAACCTCCCACGGCCTTGACGACGGAGTAACTATAGAGACACGGCACCGCCAGAGCTCTGCAGAAACACCCGGGCTGCACACCCACCTCCTGCTGCCCTGCGAGGGTCTGGGGAGGGGGTGAAGCCCCACAAGGGCAGGACGAGGATGTCGGAGAGGGGAAGGACAGGGCCGGCTTCTCCAGGCTCCTGCCTGCTGGGAGGAACAGCCAGCAAAATGATCTGGGAGCTGCGGAGAGCAGCTGCTCACACACAAAGGGCGAGGAATGAAAGCAGACACGCTGCTGCTGTGAGGCTGCTCTATGGGAACAGCACGAGCTCGAGACCCCCAGGGGTGAAACGAGGTGTCAGAAGGCCCAGCAGGACTCACGGCAGGCAGTCCCCAGCCCTGCTGGCCGGTCAGAGGCTAAAAGCAGCGCAGGGAGGACGCCAGGAGCTCGCAGGGCACCCGAAACTTTTAAGATCTCCAGACAGCAGCGGGGAGAGGAGCCCACAATGAAAGCGAAGGCACGAGCTTCTCAAAAAACATCCCCCTTCCTTCCCCCGGGGCTGGCAGGGAAGCTGGCATTCCTCTCCCGGGCGGGCAGACAGCTGTGGCGAGGGGACAGCTCCTGCTGCTGCCTCCCATCGCTCCCAGCTTCCAGCTGAGCTGCCCGGAGCAGCAGCTGAAGCCTGCAGCTAATCCTGCCCCCACGCCCCCCCTGCACAGCTGTCGGTGGGACACGGCCCCGTTAACACTGCCTTCCTGTTATTCTCCCTGGCTTCCTGTGAAGAGCCCGTTTGTCTGTCTAATAGCTGATGAGCAGAACACAACGGCCTAATTTTATTGTGATTTTTTTGCTCTGGTTAAAGATTTTCCACGGGGATGTTTCCCGCAGAGCCGCTTTGCTCCAGAGCATGACAAAGCTCAGCTGGCCGCTCGCTCCGAAAGGGTCGTGCTTGAGGCAGGGCCCTGCAGAGAGAGGAGGAGGAGGGTTTGCTTAGAACCAGGCCGTGAGGAGGGGATGTGGCAGCATTTTCAGCACTCACGCTGAAGAACCCAGAGGAAACTTCAGCCCTTGAAGAGCCCCGGCCCTAGCGGGGCTTCCAGGCCACGCCGAGCCCCTCAAGCTGGCAGCACGCTCCCCATGAGGGCTCCTCCCCGGCACTGCCCTAGGAAAAACCAACCTCGAGGTGCCGGGTGAGCTCTGAAGCTCCAACAAAAACACGGATGCAGCTGTGATGAGCGCTCACCACTTCCCTTTCCTGCAGGACCTGTCCGGCCCTGCAGCTGGTTCGGGGCGCTGCTCGCTGCCTCCCTCAGCTGGCACTGCCAACCTCTGAAGCTCTCCGGGAAGTTTGGGCAGCGCAGTAAAAACCTGGCTGAGTCCTGGGGTGGTGGGAGAGGAGCTGGCAAAGGGGGAAAAGCGATGCACAGAGGATTTTTTGTTGGTCTGGGGTGTGTGATGTAGGATCTCCCTGGATTTTTAGGGGGTGAGAGCACGCATTCTGCCCCTGCTTCCTCAGCTCCAGCTGCTCACAGCACAGCTGGAGCAAAAGAGGCCGGGAGTCATCGCGGCACGTCCTCAGCCACCTCAGCAGAGCCGAGACGAAAGTGAAAATCAGGCCTCAGCCCTGCAGTGAAAACCAACCCGCCCCTGCCTCCCCGGGAGGAAGCGAGCGAGCCTGGGGCAGCAGCAGAGGGGGGGGGAATTTTCTGCGGCGGCGTGCGGGGGTCTCGGGGCTGAGGGTCTTTGGGAAGCCAGCTCGGCACGGCCCCACAGCACAGGAGGGGAGCTCCCTTACCTGTGTCCTGTCGGAACTGCGTCAGGCTGGGGATGTCGATGACGTAGGGGGCCAAAACGGCGTCGGCGTGTCCCAGCGGGATGCTGCTGACCAGGCTGGACCCCGAGCGCCGGCCCTTCTGCTGAGCCGCCTGCAGAACCTGCTCGATGTAGCTGCAGACGTTGCCTCGGTACGGCCTCCAGCGCCCGAATTCGTCCTGCCATTCCCACACCGCCACCGCCGGGCTGCTGCCCTGCCCCAGGATGGAGGAGGAGGAGGAGGGGGCTCCGGACGGCCCGGCCACGCTGCTTCCTGCTCCCTGAGCCGCTGCCATGCTCCTGCCTCGGGGCTGGGCACGCTGCCGGCCTTACACCATCTTCTTCTGGGGGATCTGTGGTGAGAAAGAGCACGGGGAGCTGAGAATGATGCCCCAAATCCAGCCTGCCCCGAACCCAAGCCACACAAGTTGTTTATAGGGAAGCGAGCTCAGCCTTTCACAGATGAGCACAGGGGAGTGGATCAGCCCCAAAACCCTCTGGTCGAGGACAAACGAGGCACCAGCACCCACACCACACCAATGCTAGTGGCTTCTGCTAATCTGGAGCAAGAGCTCTCTGCAAAGACTCTGCTTCCGACCCCAGAGCTGCCACAGACCTACCTAAAGCCGATCTGCTCCAAGCCGCTGCTCAATCCCTTAAGAGACGATTTGGGGAAGAGCAGAGAGGGGTAGGAGCCTTAAGACGACCCCGATAAAGACACAAAGGACAGCGACTAAACCCTAACCACCAGCCCTAACTCCCAGGGCAGGCACAGGATGCAGACACCAAAGACCACGGCCACTCTTAGCGCCTAGGGGACCTAAAAAAAACAGCCCCAAAGCCATCGCGGGGTGTCACCCACCGCCACGGGGACACGCGGGTTGCTCTAACCCCCCAAGGTCTCATGCTGCTGCCTGCTCCTCCAGTCCTGAGCGCCCCCGGGGAGCCCCGAGCTCCCTTCCCATCACGGGGAGAGGCGGCTGGGCAGGGGGTGGCTCCCAGCGGAGGATGCCGTCCCTGCCGGCTGGGGGAAGATCCCACGCCCCACAGAGCGTCCCGGCCGTCACGCTGACGGGGCTCGCTGGCTTAAAAAAGGAAAGGGAATAAAGAGAGCACGGAACAGGCGCGCCCACACGTCTGCGTTTCGCAGGGGAAAGCGATGCTTTCTGCGGGAATTCGCTGCCGAGGCGTTGGAGCTGCTCTGAGGCTCCTGCACCACACCCCCAGCTCCAGCGGGGTCAGGGACGGATGGCTCAGGGTCACTGCCCAGGTCCCCGCGCATCCTTTTTTTGGCTGTGACGCCTTCTCCCCCCCTCCCAGTGCATGGGGAGGGGGGATCTGGCTGCTCAGAGCGCCGAATTTAACCGGGAGGTGTCAAAGCCGACACCTGCCTCCGCCCGTGCGGCTTCCAGGCCAGCACGTCCACGCTCCACCTGGAGCAGCGTGCGTCACCGCGGGGCTTGGGGCTGCCCAAAAGCTCCCTGTGCGCAAGTGGAGATGTTTAACAACTCCGTTTTCCCCCAAAATTGTTGCCAAATGTTCGTCTGCAGAGCCTACAGCCGCAGGCGGAGCGGGGGGAGGTTTTTTTAGGGAGCCAGCAGCTCGTTTCCCTTCCTTCCTGAGGCACGGCAGCAGGAAATGGAGAGGAGAGGAGAGGAGAGGAGAGGAGAGGAGAGGAGAGGACAGGCACCAAACGCCACCTCCTTCACAGAAAGAGCTGCAGGAGCCACACGGGTCCTGGAGCTGGGGCAAACACCAGCGAGAAGAGGCCCCGGGCTGCGTTTGGGATGCTCTCAGGAGCCACTGCAGCCCTCTGACCCCGCTTACCTGTTGCCCCAGCTCCTTCCTGGCTCAGTCCCCTGAGCAGCCAGAGGTCCCCCCAACCACTCAGGTGCTCACTCATTGAGCTCCCCCAGCTCCAATTATAAATCCCACAGGATTTGTATTTAAGCCCCAAACAAAACCCAAATCCAATAGCAGAAGACTTAAACACCCGCGCCGACTGCCCGCTGCTTAGGGGATGATTTGTAACTGGGGTCTGCTTGGTTTGACCCGAAGCTCCAGCACAAACACTGCAGCATTTGCCCCCGAGGCTTGGGCTGGAGACCCCCCACCCAAGAGCTGGGCACATTCCAGTTGTCCCCACGGCCAAATTCACCCCCTGCTCCTCCAGCCCCAGCCGAACACACCAAGAAGGGCAGGGGAGGCACAGGTGGGGGCGAGGGGGATTAAAGCATCCGGGAGACAAATGTAATTCTCAATGCCCCGTCCTCAAGCGGGAATTTACTTTGCTTTAAATGCGGGATGTTAAAATTCACGAGCCTGAAGTGATTCCTAAAAACCCCAAGCCCCACTTTAAGTTTCTGAAGGGGAATTGCCAGCGCTGTTAGGGACCGGAGTGATGGGTGAGCTCGTGCCACAGTTGGAAGGAAGCCCTCGAGCTGGGCTGCGGTTGCAAAACGCATCTGAAAAGTCACCAGATGGGACAAACCGACTGCTCAGCAGGCTACCCAGAAAAGGGGGTGCCCAGGGGGGATTTGTTAGGGGCCATGAACACCAGGCGAAGGATGGGACTGCATGGAACCCACAGGGACGAGAACACAACACCCGGGGAGGCAGCGGGGCTGAATGAACCCAGGACCCCTGCGATCCTATAGCACCGTAACCCCAAAAGGAGCCCGGGCAGCACCCCGCACCCCCCCCCAGCACCAACACAGCAGCCGGCAGCAAGCCAGGAGGGAGCGCCCAGCACTGGAAAAGCGAAACCTGGGCTCTGTCCCTTCAAAACAACCTCCAAGAAACCTCCCGGAGCGAGGACCCACCCGGGGGGCACCCACGGGGGCACCCAGCACCCTCCTGGGGGGGGCACCCAGCACCCCTGGGACCCCCGCACCCCCCCGGGGCACCGAGAGCCGGGGCTGCTGTGGGTCCCTCTGGGCCCCTCTGGCCCCAAACCAAGCGGGCAAGCGGCGGGGGAGGCAGAAATGCGAATTAAAGTGATTTTTGAAGGAAATGTGAAATTTTTAAAAGGGAAACGGCGCCAGGGCGGCCCTGAGGCGCTGCCCGCCGGCCGCGGCCCACCCAGGCCTCAGGGGGCCTCAGGCGGCCCCGGGCCCGGCCCCCGCCACCCCAAACCCGGGCCCGGCAACAGCGGGGCCCAGGGGAGCCGCCAGCCGGCCGGGCAGAGCCGCAGCCTCCCCCCCGCCCACCTCCTGCCGCCGGCCCCGAGCCCGCTGAGGCCCAGCCCGGGGCCGGTCCCGTGCCCGCCGCCCCTCACCGTGGCTCCCGGCGGCTCCCGGCGTTGCCGCTTCCCGGCCGGCGACGCTGGCACTGCGCGTGCGCGGCGCGGGGCCCGCTGGGAGATGTAGTGCGGGGGCGGGGCGGGAGGGGGAGGGGGCGGGGCCAGAGGGGAGGGGAGGGGCCAAGGGGTGGGAGGGGGGAGGGGGAAGGGGGGGAGGGGGGTGATAATGGGGGGGGTGATGGGGGGAGAGATAAGGGGGTGATGGGGGGGGTGACATGGTGTGAGGATAATAATAATAAAATTGTGTGGGATATGGGGGTGTAAAATAGTGTGTGTGCTACGGGGGGGGTGTTTTAAGTAGTGTGTGTGATATGGGTGTGTAAAATAGCATGTGATGGGGGGGTGTAAAATAATGTGTGTGCTATGGGGGTGTTTTAAATAGTGTGTAATATGGGGAGTGTGTAAAATAATGTGTGCGCTATGGGGGTGTGTAAAATAGTGTGTGTGATGGGGGGTGTAAAATAGCGTGTGATGTGGGGGTATAAAATAGTGTGTGTGTTGGGGGGGTGTAAAATAGCGTGTGTGATGTGGGGGTATAAAATAGTGTGTGCTATGGGGGGTGTTTTAAATAGTGTGTGATGTGGGGGTTGTAAAATAGTGCGTGTGATATAGGGGGTGTAAAATAGTGTGTGATGTGGGGGCTGTTTTAAATAGTGTGTGATACGGGGGGGAGTGTAAAATAGTGTGTGTGATATGGGGGTATAAAATAGTGTATGATATGGGGAGTGTGTAAAATAGTGTGTGTGATATAGCAGGGTGTAAAGTAGTGTGTGCTATGGGGGGTGTAAAGTTGTGTGATGTGGGGGGGGTGTTTTAAATAGTGTGTGTGATGGGGGGGTGTAAAATAGTGTGTATGATATGGGGAGGTGTAAAATAGTGTGTGATGTGAGGGTGTAAAATAGTGTGTGTGATGGGGGGTGTAAAATAGTGTGTGCTATGGGGGGTGTTTTAAATAGCGTGTGATGTGGGGGTTGTAAAATAGTTTGTGTGATACAGGGGGTGTAAAATAGTGTGTGATGTGGGGGGAGTGTAAAATAGTGTGTGTGATATAGGGGGGTGTAAAGTAGTGTGTGCAATGGGGTGATGTAAAATAGCGTGTGCTATGGAGGGTGTATATAAAATAGTGTGTGTGCTATGGGGGGTGGTACAGGGTGAGTGTGTAAAATAGCGTGTGCTATGGGGGGTGTGAGCTAGTGTGCAGTGTGGTGTGAGTGTGTGAAATAGTGTGTGGTGTAGGGTGTGCACAACAGCGTGTGATACGGTGTGTGTGGGGTGTGGTGTGTATGCGGTGCAGGGTGAGTGTGTAAAATAGGGTGTGATGGGGGTGATATGGTTTGCATGTGTAAAATAGGGTGTGGTGTGAGTGTGGTACAGGGTCAGTGTGTGAAATAGTCTGATATGGGGGTGTGCATGTGTAAAACTGTGATGTGTGAGTGTGGTACAGTGTGAGTGTGACGTGTGTGAGTTTTTTAAACTGTGATACAATGTGCATGTCTGCTATGGTTGGTGTGTAAAATAGTGTGTGATATGGGGCGTGTGTGGTACAGGGTGAGTGTGTAAAATGGTGTGATATGGTGTGTGCATAAAATAGTGTGATATGGTGAGTGTGATACAGAATGAGTGTAAAATAGTGTGTGATGTGGGGTGGGGGGCTGATTGCAGATCACCTTCCCCACAGACCCAAACTGAGGGGAGTCAGGGAGAGATTCCGGCCCTGTCGGCCTGCTGCGGCTTGCCGAGGAGCGGGGATCTTCACAAACCCTATAAACGCTTCTCACTGCCACCTAGTGAGCCACCTAGTGCCTCGTGTCCCCTCAGCACCACTGTCCCCTCAACACCACTCTCCCCTCAGCACCAGTGTCCCCACAGCACTGGGATGCTGGTGCAGGCCTGAGGCGGGCGGCACGCAGGCCGTCCCATTTCCGTGCCCCATAGGTTCATGCACCAGGGCAGGCAGCACCCACCACCATCTGCCTTCCCCACACCCTGTTTTAGGGCTTTGCTCCTAAATCCCCTATACCAGCCGGTCTGAGCTGTGCAGCCCCCTGTGAGTGCTCTGTGTAGGGCCGGCAGTGCTGGTGGATGAAGGTGGGAAGCCACCCGGCCCCCGTGGCCACTGAGATAAGAGGTTGATATGGAAATGTGGAAAAGATCCTTCAAGATCCATATCTCCCATTTGCCACCCCTGGGGCTGTCAGGGCCTGTCAGCGGGGTGTCCTTGGGCTGCTCCTTCTCCCTGAAGCGGGTTCCCCGGGGCGAACAAAGGCCGTTTTGTGCAGGGCCGGGTTCCTCTCCCTCAGCTCCACCTCGCTGCAGTGCCGAGGCTCCCTGGGGACTGCCTCCCGTCCTTCTGCTCTCCGTAAATGTGTTAAAATCAAACACATCAGCCGGTGCACGGGCTGGCCAGAGTTGCTCGTACTGGTTTCCCCTCGTGTCCCCTCTCCTCGAGCACCAGCAGGTCTCGCAGCCATCAACCAGCTCGTGCTGCCCCTTCCTTCCCCATCCTGCTGCCATCAAAGCCTCCTCCCAGCTAAATTCTCCCCAAAATGTGGATGACAGCAGGAAACAAGCTCCTGAAAGCCTGCTGGTGCAGCTCAGCAAGCAGCGGGGGACACCTGCAGCTCATCAGCACCCAGCCCGTGGCTCACACCTCCCCGAGGAACCAAGGAACCAAAATCTCCCCTGAGCCAAAATATACCCGGGGTTTGGCCAGCTCGCTGCTGAGGGAAGCCTTTTTTCTCCCTGTAGCCCTGCAGATTTGTGAAAATCGCCAACAGGGAGAGGAGCATCTTCAGGCCACCCGCGGGGAGGCTTCGCTTTGTGGCACTCCCGGGCTGGATGTGGATCCCTTGTGACAGTGACCATCCACAGCCCTGGGCAGGCTGCCGGCGTGGCCGAAAGTTTTTCAAAGTTTGGGCAAAACGGACCAAAAAGGCACCTTCGAAACTAGCATTTATGAGCGGATTAATTATAACTTTGCCAATGCTGGGGAATAAAAAGTCAATGCCTACTTGCTAATTACTGCAGCACCAGAAGGGATACCGGCAGGTGGGTAACGGCGCAGTCACCAGTGGTTGTCACCGCTTTGTACCGAGGTGAAACACAAACGTTTTGGGGCACGGGCTTCCTGCAGACCTACAAAGAAAGGTACTGAGGCAGCTGCTGACTGCATGGAAAGCCGGGGCAGAAATTCTGCTGCTCGTGGGATCGGCTTGTCCAAAGCCAAGGGCACACCAGGGCCCCCAAATCACTGGGGGGGGCTTAAGAATTCGCAAGAAAACCCAACACGTTTTTGGGGTCCTTTTGCAGTTGCCTTCAAGAGTGTAGAGACCTTTGCCGGGCTTTTTCTTGCAGTACCGGTGGTTGAACACATTTCTATTTAAAATTTCACAGGATGCCCCCACGGCCATCAGCTCTATCGGTCTCCAAGAGGGGAGCTGGGACCCGTGGGTGCGCAGCGCTGTGGGGCTGGCCCTGGCTGGAAGCTCAGGGAGATGGCCCAGATGTGAAGCACCTGAGATGGGGAGGAAAGGTTTCCCCTGGAGGGGAGACAGGGGAACACCACCAACCCAAATCTGGTGGTTTTTGGAGAGCCCGGAAAATCCTTCCTTGACTTCACCCTTGGGAAAGAGGAGCTCAGGTGCCACCCCAGGGACACACGGGGAGCGCTGTGGGATGGGACCTGTGTCCTGCCCGCACCAATAGGCCCAATCCAGGCATTGCGGGGTGCCAGCGGGATCGGGACCGTGTCCTTGCTGCCTTCCCCGTGCCGGTGTGGTGGCCTTGCTGCCTTCTCCAAAACGGGGCAGGAAAGCAGAGGGGGAAGCGATGAGCCCAGATGCCCTCCACCCGCTCCCAGAGGCATTCAGCCAGCTCCCAGCGCCAGCCTGAAACCTGAGCCAGTCCCACCCCATCCCGCCTCGCTCAGCGTCCCCTCTTCCTCTCCTCTTCCTCATCCTCCTCTTCCTCTCCCTCCTCATCCTCCCTCCCCAGGCCGTCTCCCCCAGGAGGGGACGGGTAGCCCCACAATGGGGCGACGTGGGCACCTTCCCACCCCACAACCGTGAGCCTTCCTCTGCCAGCAGCAGCGTCCGGCCCCGGGGTGGCACGGGATGACAGGCTGGAGCTGCTCGGTCGATGGACGAGATCCTTTTTCTCTTCTTTCTTATTTTTTTGTCATTTTCTAAAAAAATTTGCACCTGCCCCCGCGCTGGAAGAAAAGCTTCCTGCCTTAACCCCACCGCCTCCTGCCTGGGCGAAGAGGCACCATTCATTTCATCAATTATTTTTTCTTTTTGTTAACCAACCGGCCAGCAATTTTTCTTGACTTCCGAAGAGAATCTTTATTTCTGGGATTTAATACATCCGCCTTTATCCTGGAAAGAAAATACCGAACAGGTACGTGGATTGATGACACTGCTTTTGGAAGAGGGTTGGTCCAGCAGCAAATGTGTCCTGTCCGGTCCAGAGGATGAGAGTTTTTGGGGTTTATTTACTGGGATCTGCAGGGAAAGTGGGGATTTATCTTGATGGGGACAGCTGGGGCTGCAGCTTGCATTGCGGTGCTTAATGCCTGCCAGGGGCAGCTGGAGCAGGAGGATATGGGATGGATGCGGGGTGGATGCAGGATGCATGCAGGATGGATGTGGGATGGATGCAAGGTGGATGCGGGATGGATATGGGATGGGTATGGGGTGGATGTGGGGTGGATGTGGGGTGGATATGGGGTGGTTATGGGGTGGATGCTCGCCCGCAGCAGGGCTGGTGCAGGCGGCATGCCGAGGGGCTGCTGGCCCACGGCAGCGTGCCGGCCGTCTTTCAGCCCCTCTGTGCCGCGGAGCAGGGAGGGCCGGCAGGACAAAAGGCGACATTCTTCGGGGCGGAATAAGCATGAATGGAGTATTGAGAAATGCGATGTTAGGGACTAGATTGAGTTCCCTGCCCCGTAACTGAGCCGTTGGTGTGCTGGCGGGTCTCCTCCGAGCGCTGGGTCGGCAGCAGCCCCGCGGCAGGAGCAGGGGTGTGCACGGGGCTGTGCCCTATGTGGCCACCAGCAGAAGCAGCAGCGGTGCCCATCGCTCCAAGAAGCCCCGTGCAAGCTGCAGAGGCTAATTTTAAGCCTCCAGCTCTGCAAGATTTACAGGCTGGCTTCACAGCCTCCATGAAATAGTGTCCTCAGGATGGCACTCATGGCCTGGTGCTGGGGACGTGCTGGGTGCAGGGTGTCCCTGCCAGCTCACACCCAGCAGAGCTGATGTTCACCTTTTCTACACCATCTTTTGAACCGAGCAGCAAATGGAGGGGGAATTGTGTCTCTTTAATGAGAGGAGAGCACCGAGGGAGGGAGAGGAGCTGTGTGATGGAGAGGGCTGAGCGTGGATGTAGCCAGCTCGATAATTCAGGGAGGGTTTCTCCATGTCTGCGCAGTGGGAGCCTGGCGCAGCCTCGGAGGCTTTTTGCTGGGTTTCCTGCTCTTGTGAATCCTTCAGCCCCAGAGGAGCAATGCCAGGAGCCTCCCCAAAAGAGGGCCGTGACTTGCTGAGGTGACACGAAGCACTTTCACTTCCCAGAAGGGGGCTGCGTGCTGTGCCGAGTGCCACGTCCACGTGGTGTGTTAGGAATTACCCATGTGGATGGGGAGCCTCTTTCCACCTCTTCCAGAGTTTTTTTTTTTGACACGATTGCTGCTCCAGCCACCCCCACCATCACTAACCCTGGTGTCTGTGTGTTCCAGGGGCAGCAGGAGGACCCTCGAGCGGAGATGAGCCCTGGCCCGTGCCCGGTGTGCGGGGCGCTGCCTGCCTCCCTGCTGCTCCTCTTCCTCCTCCTCGGCCCCACGGGTGAGCGCTGGCTGGGCACGGTGGGGTGGGGGGATTTCAGGCACCAAGGTCTTCCTCCTGGCTTGCTGCAGTGGGCAAATTGTCCTTGTGTGGAGAGGGAGGGAGCGAGCCAGCTGCCAGCATCCCCAGGACATCCCCACGGTGCTTTTGTGGGCTGAGCAGTCCTCCTGGCTGGTGCTTTTGTTTAGGAATGTGCCCGGAGAGGGGCTGTCTTTACACAGTTCCTTCTTCTTTCTTTTATTTTTTTGTTTTTATGGCTTTGTGAGGCTGGATCAGAGGGAGCTGGGAGCTGCGGCAGTTCCCCAGGAACAGCGGTTTCCTCATTAGCGCGGCCGCACCGCCTGCATTTTTTCGGGCCTCTCTTGACTTTGCTGGAGGATGCTCTTAAATGAGTGCTTCGGAGCTTTGATCCTGATGGACGGGAGATGAATATGGAATATTTAACAAAGCCATTCTCACCCGCCGCTGGGAATAGGTGGCAAAAACCCGCCCGAGCCAGGATCAATCACTCCTCAAAACCCCGGCACCTCCACCCACCCTTTGGCATCTCCCCCCAGCCTCTCCTCCTGGCAGCATCCCCCAGAGCCCTGCTGTGTGCCCACCCCATCAACGTGCCCCATCTCCTCCCCCGGCACCCGCCACCCCTGCTGCCAGGGGTCCTGAGGGTCCCCGTGCTTTTGGGGCCGCATCCTGAGCTTTCCCCGGTGGGGATGCTGCAGCAGGCGGGTGTTTCCCAGGTGCTTGCACCACTGCGAGGTGGAAAATGTGATTGCAAGAGGCAGATCCGCGTGGACCAGCAGCAGCACCCTGCAGCTCGCCCAGCGTCGGGGCCACCCTTGGAGAGGCGTCACCCCATCAGCCGTGTTGGTCCACGCGGAGAAACACACAGCCTGCAAAATGCTGACTGCGTTGTGGGGAAAAAAAAATAAATTACAATGCACAGAGAGCTGCCCGGCGCAGCGTTTGCCATCAGGAAATCACCAGCAGGCTCCCCGTGGTGGCAGGCAGGACCATTTCTCCGGGGGCTGCTGCCGCCGCCGCTCGCCGTGCCCATAAAGCAAAGCTGCTGGCAGCGAGACAACGGGGGGAGCGGGGAGGAGAGGCAGCACTGAAAGGCTCCTTCTGTCTGCAAGCTAGCAGCTCCCGGGCGCACGCCAGGAGAGCAGCTTGGTTTCATTAGGCTGCTAACAGGCACCCTTGGCACCTCTCTGCCGAGCTCCATCCAAGGGTTTCGGGGAGCCACGGGGAGCCGAGAGCGAGGGCGGTGGCGGGCGAGACGCAGGGGGCTGGAGCTGCCAGCTCCTCTGGGGCTGAGCTGAAATAATTCCCAGCACGTGCAGCCGGTCCCAGCCCTGCTCCCTGCATCCCCGTGCTTTTATCCGGAGAGCCCTGACCCTGCCTCCTCTGTTTCAGGCGCCTCCGAGCCCGCTCCGCTGCCGTTCCCAGGTGAGGTCCTTCGCTCCGAGCCGCTTTCCTCCAGGTTTTGCAGCTGAAAAAAAAAAATAAATAAATAAGGGGTTTTGTTCCAAACGGGGCTTCAGACAGGAGGCATGTTGGGTTGGAACAAAGAGCGGCAGCAGAAAGCTGAACTTCTTTTAGGGAGGGATCCTTTCTCAGCCCCACGCTGCTCGTTATCAGGCGAGGAAACCCTGGCAGCCCCCGCCGGCTGCCTGTCCCCGTGTCACTCAGCGTGCCCCCGCCAAGAACTCCCTGGAGGGCAGCTCCCACACACACACACACACACACACACGCACGCAGTCCCCGCTGCCAGCAGCCTGGGGAAGCATTTCCCTGCCACCAATTCCCACCGGGGACCCGCTGTGGCCGCGTTCATCGAGGCGAGCAGCAACCTGCTAATTGCACCTCGTCACCCGAGCCGCGCGGTGGCACACGGCTGGGTTATCCCCGGGCTGCAAACATCCAGGAGGATGTTTTTTGCACCTTGTGTGATCAAAAAAAAAGTGCAGGGGTGCCCGTGTCCCCAGCATCAAGCTCACTTGGGTGTTAGTAATGGGGTCAGCAAGCCAGCAGCTGGCCAAGAGCCACCTGCTTGATCCAAGGAGTGGCGATTTGGGGCAGAATGGGCCCAAACCCTTTGTAACGGAGATGTTTTGGGTGCCTGGCACCTCGTGGCTGGCCCGCTGAGCACCTCGCTGTGCCCGTCCTCGCAGAGCTGCGCCTGGCCAACGGGCCCGGCCGCTGCCAGGGCCGCCTGGAGATCCTGCACAACGGCACGTGGGGCACGGTGTGCGACGACGACTGGGACATCGTGGACGCCAACGTGGTGTGCCGCCAGCTGGGCTGCGGCCACGCCATCGCCCTGCCGGCGCCCATGACCTTCGGGCAGGGCAGCGGGCCCATCTTCCTGGACAACGTGGACTGCAAGGGCCGGGAGGCGGCGCTGAGCGAGTGCTGGAGCCACGGCTGGGGCATCCACAACTGCTACCACTACGAGGACGTGGGCGTCGTGTGTAATGGTAACGGGGAGAGGGGCGCGCGGGGGGAGCTGGCGGCTCCAGGGGTCTCCCCGAGGAGTCCCGGGGTCAGCCGAGCTTCTGCGTCCTTTCTGTGAGGCTTTTCTGGGTGCTGGTCACCTCCCGGGCAGGGGCTGGCATCTCTCATTCCCTCTGCAGAGCTCTTGCCCACGCCAGCAAGCGAAGGACCGACCAGCAGCACCGCCACGGCCTCGGGGCGCAGCGGGGAAGGTGAGGGGCTGGGAGCCCGGCCCGGCTGGGGGGTCTCCAAGGGGAGAACAGAACAGCACCCCCACCACCACCCCCACCCCCACCACCACCACCAGCACGGCCCCATCCTTCCCCTCCAGCCACCCCGGTGGGCTGCGTACAAGGAGCAGCCCCCCGGCACCTCCACCTTTGGGGCCAAATCCTCCAAATCCTTTTTCCAGCACTTCATGAGGGATCCCATCGGTCGTGCTGCCCCAAAGCAGCCCCCCTGCCACTCTCTTAGGTGTCTTCCACCCCACCGGAGCCCAACCCTGTGGGTCGGTGGGCTCGGGGGGACGGCGAGACGTTTGTCCCCCTGTTCTGTCCCCCTCCAGGTGACGGCAGCGTCCGGCTGGTGAGCGGGGCGGACACCTGCCGGGGCCGGGTGGAGATCTTCCACGGGGGGAGCTGGGGCACGGTGTGCGACGACGACTGGGGTCTGAGCGACGCTGGGGTGGTCTGCAAGCAGCTGGGCTGCGGCCGGGCCCTGGAGGCCAAGAGCAACGCCTATTTCGGCTACGGCACGGGGCGCATCCTGCTGGACAACGTCAACTGCGAGGGCAGCGAGCCCGTCCTCGCCGCCTGCTACAGCCTCGGCTGGGGCATCCACAACTGCGGCCACCACGAGGACGCCGGGGTCATCTGCGCGGGTAACCGGGGGGAAATTGGGTGCCCACAGGGTGCCCCTTTGCCCTTCAAACACGGGGATGGGTGGCAGCGCTCTGAGCCCGTCAGGTGGGGCAGGACCTCGAGGAACCCGGGTTTGGAGCTGGCGGTGGGGCTGGCTGCACGCTGCCTGCCTCCACCGTGCCCCCCGCTGCTCCTGCCCCTGCCCAGATTTGAATATTTGGTGTATCGAGGCTCAGAAATGTCCTGCAGCACTGCTGTGGGGCTTGGAGAGGCTCCATCTCCAGCGTGTGGGGAGTGGGGATGAAAGAGGAAGTTTCATCTCCATCTCCATCTCCATCTCCATCTCCATCTCCATCTCCATCTCCATCTCCATCTCCATCTCCATCTCCATCTCCATCTCCATCATCTCTATCATCTCCTTCATCTCCATCTCCATCACCTCCAGCATCTCCATCTCCACCTCCATCATCTCCATCATCCCCTTCTCCATCATCTCCATCTCCACCATCTCCATATAATCTCCACCTCCACCATCTCCATCTCCATCATCTCCACCTCCTCCATCTCCCCCCATCCCCTCCATCCCCACGCCCTCTCACCGCTCCGCTCCGTGTCCCATTCCAGCTGCTCTGCAGCTTCTCCCTTCTCGTCCCCTCTGTGTCCCCGCAGGGCTGGACACGTCCACCATCACGTCCTTCACCACCTCGGTGGCCCTGGACTACCAGGAGACGCTCACCGCCACGGCCACAGGTACGGGGGTGGCCCCAGGGGCTGGTGGCTCCCTGGGCTGTCCCCACCCGGGGGACAAGGGACCCAGGCGCATCTCAGTCAGGTTTTGGGGCTCTCCGGGGTGCCCTTCCCCATGGCACATCCCCGGGACCCTCTTCCTGGCCCCTCGAGTGACTTTGCCATGGGGACACCGTGGGGCTGGGGGGCAGTGGGGGGTGGGGACAGACCCCCCCCCAGTGTCCCCGTGTCCTTGTCCTTGTCCCAGCGGTGACAGACGGCCGCGAGCAGCCCACACCGGTGACCGAGGTGGCCACAAGCGCGCTGCTCACCTCCCCGATGGAAAGTAAGTGGGAGGCCGCCGCTGGCACCACACGGGGTCTGGCATGGCCCCCACCCCGAGGTGCCCCTGCCCCAGCCCTGGGAACACAACCCCACAACCCCAGGGCTCGCCCCGTATGCCAGGGGCACCCCAGGGCTTCACCCCCTGCCCCCAGGGACTCACCCCACATCCCCAGGGGGCTCCCCTGATGTCCCAGCCCCCCCCCCCCGTCCTCCCACGGTGCTCACCCCATACCCACAGAGCTACCTCCTAAACCCGTGGGGGCTCCCCCATCTCCCCAGGGGCTCCCCCCCGTCTCCCCACACTCCCCCCCATCCTCCCATGCTGTTCCCCCCATCTCCCCACGCCCCCTCCCCACCTCCCTATGCCCCCCCATCACTCCACTCCCGCCCATCAACCCCCTCTCACCCTTTCCCCGCCCCCCACACCCTTTAGGGTCCCCCTCTCCACCCTTTAGGGTCCCCCCTTCACCCTTTTAGGTTCCCTTCCCACACCCTTTAGGATCCCCCCCCACACACACCTTTTAGGATCACCCCCCACACCCTTTAGGATCCCCCTCCACCCTTTAGGGTCTCCCCCCACACCCTTTAGGGATCCCCCCCATTCACCCTTTAGGATCCCTCCCCACACCCTTTAGGATCCCCCCCACACGCACCTTTTAGGATCACCCCCCACAGCCTTTAGGATCCCCCCCCTCCGCCCTTTAGGTTCCCCCTCACTCACCCTTTAGGATCCCCACACACACCCTTTAGGGTCCCCCCTCTCCACCCTTTTAGGTTCCCCCCCCCCTCCACCCTTTTAGGATCTCCCCCCCACACCCTTTAGGGTCCCTTCTCTCCACCCTTTTAGGATCCCACCCCACACCCTTTAGGATCCCCCCACACCCTTTTAGGGTCCCCCCCCCGCCGTGGCTGTGCCGTTGCCCTCCCGCAGGTGCCGGCGTGCGGCTGGCGAACGGCAACGGGAGCTGCCGCGGGCGGGTGGAGGTGCGGCACGGCGGCACCTGGGGCACCGTCTGCGACGACGACTGGGACTTCCCCGACGCCCAGGTGGTGTGCCGCCAGCTGGGCTGCGGTGCCGCCATCTCCGCCACCGTCCTCGGTTTTTTCGGGTTCGGCAGCGGGCCCGTGCTGCTGGACAACGTGGGGTGCGCCGGCGGCGAGGCGCGCCTGGCCGACTGCTTCCACCTGGGCTGGGGGCGGCACAACTGCGGCCACCACGAGGACGCCGGCGTCGTCTGTCGAGGTGGGCACCCCGCCGGGGTCGGTCATCATACAGGAGAGGTCGTGGGGTGCTCGTTTGGGCGGTGGGAGATGGGGTTTGGGGTACCCCGGTCGGGCACTGGCACAGTGAGGTCGGTTGCGGTAGCCAAAGGTGGGTTTGGGGGTGGTGGGGTGGTGGTCTCAGGCACACGGGGTGGGTTTTTGGGGACCTGGTGGTGAGCCGGGTGTTAGATGCTGTGGGTCCCTTCCCATTTGGGATGTTCTGGGATTGTTTTGGGGAGGGTGGCAGCAGCGGGATGCTGGCAGGTGGTGGCTGACACCTGGGTGCCACCTCTGCCTCCAGGGGTGCTCCCCGCTGCTGCGGCCATGAGCGCAGTGACCCCATTGCCACACCACATCGCCTGTCCCCAGCTCCCACCCCCTGCCTGCTCACAGGGGGACTGCGAGCCGCCCCCAAAAACCACAGACATCCCCCAAACTGCCCTTCTCACCCCTTCCCACCTGCTCCAGGTGCTGACGACTCGGGTGACCCTTCCCAAGAAGCCACCGTCACCGCCACCACGCCAGCCCCGACCCACCCTGAGGACGGTAGGTGCCCTGCGGCCCCCGGGGGCTCCTTGGGATGGAGACTGGGGGAAACCAGGCTCCTTTTGGGACCAGCCCCATCTCCCCTAACCGCTGGGGATCCCTCCCCAACCTTGACGTCCTCCCCGCAGGCTCCTTGCGCCTGGTGAACGGCAGCCACCGGTGCGAGGGGCGCGTGGAGCTGTTCCACCTCTCGCAGTGGGGCACGGTGTGCGACGACGCCTGGGACCTGCGGGACGCCGAGGTGGTGTGCCGGCGGCTGGGCTGCGGGCACGCCGTGGCGGCCCCGGGGGAAGCGCCCTACGGCCGGGGGGCCGGCTACATCTTCCTCGACAACCTCAAGTGCAAGGGCAGCGAGCCCTCGCTGCTGAGCTGCTCCCACATCCGCTGGGACGTCCACAACTGCGACCACTCCGAGGACGCCGGCGCCGTCTGCAGCCTCCTATGACCGCCCGTGGGTATGGCAGGGAGGGGGCTCGGGGTTTAGGAGCTGGGGAGGGATAGGGGGGCTCCGTGGGGGTTTTTAATGCAGTGGGGTGTAAATCATGTGGGTGGGAGCGCCCCAAGGAGGTTCAATTGGACATGGGGTGTGTTTCGAGCCCGGTTTCCCAGGGGAATGAGTTTGGGTCATCATGCTGGACGTGCGCCTTGACGGCTCGTTTCACCCAAATTGGGCAGAAGGGGAGAGGTCTCCAAGGGGCTGCGTTCCCATTTAATCCTTTAAAATAGACAGCCGGGGGAGGGAGAGGCCTCCGTGGGGGGAAACCTAACTGGCTCAACCCCGTATGAGCCATCAGAGAATCCACCAGCAGGCTCTGCTGGGCCCAAATCTTTGCGAGCACAATTTGTGCCCCAGCACCACCCGCCGGCACAGCTGGGGCTCGGCAGCAGTGGCTCCTGGTGCCGGGGTCCCCAGCTTGGGGACAGCCACCCCACTGCCTCTGCAGCCCCTCTGGTCCCTCGGGGCACTGCCCGGGGCTCCCTCGGGTGTTTGGGGTCAGCCCTGGGTTTCCTCAGCTCCTCAAGTCTTGGCTGAAGCTTTGTCCCCCCCCAAACTGCCCATTGGAAAACAAAACCAAACACGAAAAGAAATAATAATAATAAAAAAGGCTTTGGTGTGAAATTGGGTTGGTTTCAGCCATTTTGATTACAAGGCGAGGGGAGAGGAATGGGATTGCTGCTGTGCAAATGATGCGGGATTGTACCTGGGAAACGTCACCCAGGGCTGAACTCCACCCAGAAGCTTCCAGAAGGTTCCCTTTGCTCCGCAGCGAGGTGCTGCCGTTCTCCCCTTTGCTTTTCAACCCCCCCTTAACCCACGGACGAGCTTTCTCTCCCTGTGCCTCCAGGAGAAATACCAAAAAAACTCCCAAATCCTCACACAGGTCCCCATCCCGCAGCCACCCCCTAATTTCCCCCTGTGCCCACGTCGTCTCCTCTCCTCCTGCTCCTCCCCAGCACAACCACAAAAATCCGGGGAGCAGGGCGAGACGGGGCCCCCTGCAGCCTCCCCGTGCCCCCCAAACCCCCCGTGTCCCCATGTCCCCGTGTCCCCATGGCTGGTGCCTCCCAGACCCCTTGCACGGCAGCACCCCGCAGCACAGCCCCTTCTCCCCCCTGGGTCCCGTGTCTGTACAATTCTTTTGTTAATAAGATTGTGCACATTCCCATTATTTTTTTTTCCACTTTTCATGTGTTTTTTGGGGGGTTGTTTTGTCAATAAATAAAATCCCTTTCCAAGTGAGCGCTCGCCTCTCTGCAACCCCTCCGGGGCTCGGCACAGGCGATGCCCCCGCGAGGGGGGCTCGGGTTTGGCGGTGTGAGGTCGGCACAAACCCTACCCGTGCACCCAGCAGCTCGCAGCGAGCCGGGAACCGATTTCGGACCCCGCTGGGCTCAGGGGAGGGATTTGGGGTCTGGCTGTGCTCCCGGCTGGCTTTGGCAGCCCCGGAGGCTGCGGGGTTGGTGCTGTGCACCTGGACGGGCTCTGCAGTGCTGATGGCACTCCATGGGCACATCCCCTCCATCCCCTGTCCCTTCCCTGCTGTCACCCGCTGCCAGGACAGCGGGGAGGAGGCCACGGGGACAGCGGGGTGCCGAGGGCTGTCCCCTTTTCGTGCTGCATCAGCTGCTTCCCCCCCCTCCTCGGCCGGAGCAGCTGCGGCCCCGCACGGGTCGATGCCATCGATTAGTTCCTGCCAACGTCCCCAGGGAGGGGATGGCGCAGAGGCCGGGGGGAGAGAGCATGAATATTTCACGAGGTCCGGGCAAAAGCCGGGGTTATTTTGGGGCCGGGATTTATGGCCTATTAGGAATAAGGAATGAGTCTGTGCCGGGGAGAGGAGACCCATTAATCCAGGCGGAGGGAGCAGCAATGAGCAAGGGGAAATGGAGGAGGCTGGAACGGTTTCACCGTGTTCCAGAACAATAACTCGGCTCGGCAGCGCTGGGAACTGGGGCACGGGCACCCCGAGAGCCCTGCGAGCCCCCTGGGGGGGTTGGAGCTGCCCCAGCAGGGCCCCGGACTCACTGCATGCTGCGGGGCAGCGGTGCTGAGCTGGGTTTTTATCCCGTTACCGGTCTGGGGGCACTTGGGGTGGATTGGGGTCCCATTTGGGGACCAGCACGAGCCCATCTCCCTGGTGGGGTGGAGGATGAGCTGCTGGTGGGGTCGCCTCACCGTGATTTGGGCTCGGTGCATGGTGCAAGGCCGCTCCCCCCAACGCCCCCCGTGCCCCTGTAGGGCAATCCCACTCGAACCTATAACCGGGCACATACGGGGGCAAGACCCTGCAGGGCCCCCCCTGTGCTCAGCACCACTTGGATGACCTTGAGCTCCGCTCCCAGCCCTCCTTTCTGCCTCAGTTTCCCCAGGAGCACCCCTGCCCACCCCATCCCCTGTTGCGGGGGGCTCCTGGGGACAAGGGGACCCGTTACAGGGGGGGGGGGGCTGCGGGATGTGTCCGCCACCGCCGCCGCCGCGCTGCGTCCTCCTTCCCCGCGCCTCCCGTGTCTCACGGTGACGTCAGCCCGGCGCAGCCAGCAGCTATTTCGGGATCTGCAGAGTCACTGGTGCAATTAGCCCGCTGGCCAAGGCGCACAGAGCTGGGGGGGCCGCAGGGCCGGCTGCCCCCGCTGCGCCGGGAGAGGGGGGGGGTCCGCATGGCCGCAGCCCTGGGGCGCACGGAGGTCGGAGCCTCTCCTCGTCCCTGCCGCGGCTGCAGGTCCTCCTCCCATCTCTCATCTCCTCTCCCGTGGGCTGTGGGATTGAATTTTTTAATTTATTTATTTTTTTTCCTTCCCCCCCCCCCCCCCTTCCCACCCGCTCCTCCCTGGCGGGAGCCATCCCACGTGGGCTGCCGAGTGCTGGCGACATCCAGCTCCGAGGCACGGGAGCAGAGAGCTGGTGGCAATGTGGGGACATTGTCCCCCCCCAGGATGATGTCCCAGCACAGCCCGAGGGCAGGGGGCTGTGGTTTGGGGAGTCTGGGGGGGTCTGGGCTCTGCCTTCAGCTGTGGTGGGGTTTGGGAGCTGGCACCAGCCCCAAATTCCCCCTCCCGGTGTTGCTCCCATGCTCCCTGCGTGTTGCAGGGGTCCTGCACCTTATTTCAGCTGATTTAGGGTGGGGGGGGGATGACTTAGGATAGGGGGCTGATTTAGGGTGAGGGGCTGATTTAGGGTGATGGGCGCCCCCCTTCCGTGCAGGATCAGCCCCTTCCGAGCTCCATCTCCCCCCCCCTAACACTGTCCTTGTCCCCAGCGGGCTGTCCCCTTTTGTCACCTTCCTTAGGGACACCCGCAAGGCTCCCCGCGGGGGACAGCTGCTGTCAGGGTCAGGCCGGGCGCTCGCCTCTGCCTTGTGCTTTGTCCTGGGGCCGTGCCACGTGCTGCTGTCACGGCACGGCACACGCAGTGAGCAGCTCCTGCCCTGCCAGGGGGACACGGGGACATTTGGGGTGCTCAGCCCTTTTCCAGCCTCCCCCCCACTGGGTGACAGCGAGAGGGGACGCGGACATTGGTGCCATGAGAAGCTGAGCCTGGGGTCTCCATCCTCCCCAAAAGGAGGGCTCCAAGATCACCAAATTGCTTTAAAAACCCCAAGGTTTTCCCATGCGACCCCAGCATCCTTCAGTCCCATCCCCCATGGATAAAATAAATAAATAAAATGGAAAAAAAAAATAAAAATTAAATCCTTTCTCCTAAAGCCTGCAAGATGCTCGGGAGCTGCAGCGCGGGGAGCCGTGCAGCTCCCGGGGAGGGGGGGACACGGGCAGGGGGGGTGCCTCCGGGCGTGGGGCAGCTGCCAGGGGAGGGTGGCAGTGATGTGGGGTGCCTCTGCCCCACATCGTGTGGGGCTGGGGGTGCTGGGGGGGCTGAGGGGGGGGCTGAGCGCCGGGCGAGGCTGTGCTGAGTCACGCTGCAGAGCCACGCAGCAAGACTGCAGCAAGCGGCTCGCCCGCCGCCTCTGCCGGGGCTGGATGTGACAGCCCCGTCCCTCCCGGTGGTCCTCGTCCCCCCCCCCCGGCAGCTCGGAGGGGTTGGGGGGGGGTTGTTGAGGATGGGGGGATGCCCATTAAGGGGGTGTCACGGGGGGCTGGGGGAGGATGGGGTCCTGCTGCGTGCCGGGTGCTGGCTGTCCCCGTGCGGCTCCGTGCGGCTCTGTGCTCCTCTCCTCTTTAGCAGGGATGGGGCGGCTCTGGGACCCCCGTGGGACCCCCACCATGCGGTGTGGGGACACCCAGAGAGCTGTCCCCAGTTGTCTGTGACCAGGGGATGGCACTAACGGCAACCCCGCAGCGGTGGGGGGCAGCTTTCCACCTGGCACCTTAATTTTGGGGTGTGGAGACCCCCTCTCAGCTCCCTCCCTGGTGCCAACCCCCCACAGGGACATAGGGCCAGCCCTGCTTTGCGTCCCCAACACCACTACAGGACAAAGGGACACGCTGCAGAGGGAAACTGAGGCACGGTGGGGATGTCACCCAGGTGCTGTCACCTCTCACACAGCGCCCCGAGCCCAAAGGACACCCTGCACCGTGCTGCCCCCCGGCCCTGCAAGGCTCCAGGGTGCTTCTGGAGGGGCCGAGACAGCCAGGTTTTTGTGGTTTTTGTTGGTTTTTTTTTTTTTTTTTTTTTTTCAGGCTCCATCAGCGCTGTCTGGGCGGTATTTATATCGGCTCCTTAAATAAGAGCTGCCACCCCAGCCTGCTGCGCCTGCTGAATTATTAACGCCCCGTGGGGAGGCGGTGTGTGGCTGGTCCCTGTGTCCCTGAGGGGTTGGGGACCGGGTTCTGCACCCCCGGTCCCCACCAGGGCTGGTGTCCCAGCAGGAGCCGAGGCCACTCCAGCTAAAATCAGGACCATCCCCATGCGAGCATCCTTCCTGGGGCCACGGGGAAGGCTCACGGGGGGGGGATTTTCCAAGATGGGAGCATCCTGGTGCAGCCCCCACTGC